CGGCGATTTTATCGGGCCGGGAAAAACGGAGACGTGCGTGCGTACGTGTGTGTGTGTGTGTGTGTGTCTACGTGCACGTGTGCGGTCGAGAAGAGTTTCCGGAGAACCCGCGGGGCGGCGATTTCGCGGCCGATCCGCACGCACGATCGGCTGCCGCGTCTCGCGGATTGTGGGCGGACGCGAAGGTACTTCGCGGCTGTGCTCATCGCCGGCATTCCGCAGCCGTGACGGAATGTTCCCCGCCGCGATATCGATGTAAATGATCCAATGTTACGTAAAGCGACCCCTCGCTGCCGCGGTGACGGTAACGCGTCGCGGAACAACTCGCGATCGCGCCGATAGTTCGCTCCTCGAATTCGCCGCTCGATAACACACGTTCTCTTAGACCGATACTCGTCGCGTTCCCCGACGCTCTCCTCCCGCTAATGAAAGACGCGCCGCAGTAGCTCGACAAAGGAGCGGAGTGACGGTGGAGACGCAGGACGCCGGACGGGGAAGTGAAAATATCGGCACGCCGATATCGACGTGATGTTTCACCGACAACGTTGAAGACGGACGTGACGAGGCGGCGTCGTGCGTCGCGCGCGTGCTCGCGCGCCGCGTTCGTCGGCGACAAAAGAAACAACAGCCGCGACATTTCGTAAACACTCGCTCGATTCCCGAGAAGGGAATCGCGGCTCGACATCACGGCGAGAGTGATTAGCGGCGCGCCGTTTAAGACTCGCCGCTCGGTCCGCCAATTTCGCGTCCGCTTCACGCTCAGCTCACACGGCTCTCTCTTGAGAGAGAGAGAGAGAGAGAGAGAGAGAGAGAGAGAGAGAGAGAGAGAGAGAGAGAGAGAGAGAGAAAGAAAGAGAGAGAGAGGCGAGTCGAGAGAGCTGAGAGAAGCGATTTCGTCCGGCCGATCAAAGGAGGCATGATTTACACGACTCCGTAGGAATGTCGTAATTTAACGAGCGCAGTTAACGGCTCGCGCGCGCTAAGGATGCATGCGCGGCTCGGCGATCGACGCAGGAATTGCCGGTGGTTGCACGTGGGACGATAGCGAGGGACACGCCTATCGTCGCTTTGTTATGCGCTAATTCCCGCGGGATTCCTGCGGGACGTGGAGAGGAGCGCGCGGGGTCTCTACGCGTGTTCTGGTCTGTTCCTCCGGGGCGACGCGGCCGCGCGACGTGTCTTCGTGGCCGAAAAGCGGTCTTAATCGGCTATCGCGACGCGTCGATCGGTCTAACGCGTCCTGAAGAGCGAGAAAGGAAGGACGCGCATAGAGCCGGATTCGAGACGCACCATCGGCGGAACGTGACTCGTGAGAGAGCGTCGAAATGGGACCGCTCGGAGCTGAGCTAAACGCGTTTCTGCTTGTCACTTTAATACGCATTAGTTGGAGCGTCGGCGTCGGCATCGCCGATGACACGGCTGACTTGTCAACGGTGAGTGAATTTATACCGAGCGTCGCAGATACAAACGATCGCGCGTGCGCGCGCGGCTCTACTTTCGCTGAAACCCGGACCCGAGATTAATAGCCGGAGATAAGCCGCGGAAAGCGAAGCCGCGTGGCGTTTTGTTTTCCACGACAAATGGCCCTCGTTTCAAAGTGGAAATGTCGACTTTAGCGCAATCGCGCAATCGCGCAACCGCTCGCTCGGCCAATGTCGGCCGATGTTAATCTGCCGCGGAGAGCGCGACTATTTTCATTCCGCGGACTTTGGCGTCTTCGTGCTTTGCGGAGGGGAATTTCTCTCTTTTCTCTCTCTCCCTCCCTCCCTCCCTCTCTCTCTCTCTCTCTCTCTCTCTCTCTCTCTCTCTCTCGTTCCCGCTACCTCTTGTTTAAATTGCAACTCACGCGCTGTCTCGGCGATGTCGTGCAAGTTTCTCCATATTCACTAGTGTTATCCCTGACTGAAAAGTAGAGTAACGATCTTAAACGTAGCACTTTTGTAAATCGCAAGTGTGCGACGGAGTCGGTTCAGCCGCATTTTCAAGACCTCATTCGATACCCACCGATCGTAGCTGCGAGCAGCTGCGGTGGCTTCACCACCGTGCCGGGGCGCGAGCCGAGCTAATGCTCGAGTTATCCCGGCGAGGTGCAAGGACCTCGCTGGATCGTAATAAATATTTTCCTTAGGCTAGACTATAGAAACAAGCGCTCTTTTCCTCCGAAAGATGCATGCGTAGGGGCCTGACGCTCTCCACGGCACAATAGATGCTCTCCATCTTGGAATCTCGTTAGTTTTACAGCCGCCTCCGGTCACACACGCACTCACACACACACACACACGCACACACACGCGCGCGCGCGCGCGTACACAGCGTGGCTTCTTGTAAGCGATCATTTAGCCGTCACTTTGAGCGACTGCTTCGCGGGATCGATTCTATTACGTCATTATACTGTTGTGATTACCGCGCCTATGTTTCGTCGCGCTCCAACGTGAACTCATACATACACAACGGCATTTTCCACTACGATTTAATTACCCCGTCCGAAGGAAGACAATTGATGGTATCAAATTACGGTGCGGTCTCTTCGATGCGGTATCCGCGCATCATCGAGAATTCTACCTAGTCCGTCGGGGAATTCATAATTCGCTCGAGTCGCGGAGTTCTTGTTGCTAATTAATCACCCCGTGATCACACGGCGATAATTTTATTCGCCGCTTCCACCGCTCGGCGGGGAGAACCTGTGTGCAGACAATTATCTCGTATATAATGACGCTCGCTCTCGGTGTCTGCCCTATCGCCGCGAGGATTTCCCTGAAATCTAATCCAAGGTAGCGGCTTGCGTTTAACGGAGGAACATAAACGAAGCGAGAGATCAACGAACCGCGCGCGCGCGACTCGAAGCCGTAGCCGTAGCCGTAGCGGTAACGCCGACGGGATGGATTACGCCGGCGTGCATTACCTCCTCGCGATGTTCACGAGCGCGTCCGAGACGCGTATCCATCTTATCGCCGTCGTCGTCGTCGTCGTCGTCGTCGTCGTCGTCGTCGTCGTCTATTGCTGCCGCTCGCTGCAATTTCGTGCATGCTCGAAATTGCGCGAGGCCAGTGCGCGAGAGCCAGCGCAATCGACGCCGCGGGGGGGGGGGGGGAAGGAGGAGAGACGGGGGTAGAAAAATGCAATTGGATCGGGATGTTGTGCGCTACGCGCCGGCAACGATGTCATTAAACGATCTCCCGAGACGGTGCCGATCCCCGTGAGCGAGACGAAATGAAAAAGGCAAATGGGCCGGCGGATGCGTCGACGCCCATTATTACTATTGGCATACGGGATATAGCCTCGGCGCGCACCGTGCCGTCAAGGGTAATAGTTATATCCAGCCGCCGCAGAGGAGCTCTCTCTCTCTCCCTCTCTCTCTCCCTCTCTCTCTCCCTCTCTCTCTCCCTCTCTCTCTCTCTCTCTCTCTCTCTCTCTCTCTCTCTCTCTCGGTCTCTCTCTCTCTCTCTCTCTCTCTCTCGGTCTCTCTCTCTCTCTCTCTCTCTCTCTCTCTCTCTCGGCCTCTCCCTTTCTCGGTCTCTCCCTCGCTCGGCGGAGCTACGAGATAAATCGGGCACGGTCTCGCATAATCGCGGCGAATCTGCCCGTCGAGGACGCGATCGATCTCTCGATTCGGATTAAGCCGCGCTCTCGGCGGAGCCGAACGCGAGCGCGAGCGCGTTGCAGGTGCGGCTCATTTGAATATTATGTGGAACAAATGACCGACTTCTGGCGCGGGCAGTGCTTCTTTTAGCCGAGGCGAGGCCGCGCGCCACGAGGGACGACGTTCCGCGTCGATGCGCTTCTGGTGTACTCGGACTCGGCGTCGTGCGTGCGCGTGTATGTGTGTGTGTGTGTGTATGTGTGACTCACGCACGTAACGCTTCTCACTTGAAGCGCGTTCCTGCGTTTCGCAGGATGTCGTGAGTACGGCTCGGTACGGGATGCTGAGTAAGAGGTCTCTCTCGCGATGACAGGTGATTGAGTTGAGGTCGACACCACGCGCGCGCTCGCGCTTGTTCACTTCGCTTCGCCTCCTGTAAAAAGTCAATCACTAGGGGTCGAGGGGAGAGAAGAGAGGCGAAGAGAGTTTCGACGAATCGTCTGGTGCGTGCAGCGAAGACACGGAGTCTTTGCAGAGAGAGTCTCTTCGTACGCTGAAACAGGTGAAACGCGCGAGCGTACATCGTCACCGTACGCTTAATCGCGCTCTTTGTAAGCCGCAGCGTAATTTAAATGTTAAAGACTTTCCTCGACCCCGCAATCTTACTCGGTGTGGAGAAAAGTTACGGTAACGGGCGATATTTTTGTTTAAAGCGCTTTGCAGGCTTTGCTCGGGCCCCGTTATCGTATAAATAGGGTCACCGAAGAGAGCGAAAGACGAGGGAGAGAAAGGGGGGAGAGAGAGAGAGAGAGAGAGAGAGAGAGAAAGAGACGAAGGTTCTCTCCCGAGGCGGCGACGGCAGCGGCGGGAGAACTGGTACGGCGGAACCACCGCGGTGCGAGGTGGAGGAAAAAAAGAAACGACGTTTATTCCTTTTGGTGGACGTGGCGACTATTGAAAATGTCAATATGATCGTGACGCGTCGGAATCGCAGAGATTAATGGCGCGTTATCGCCGCCCGTTTTCGTGCGTCATCCGAGCTTCTATTTAGGAGCCGCGGAAAAATAGGCGGGGGGATATTTGTCGCCGATATTTCGTGCTTTTTTCCGCGATGGGACGAGATAAGGATATGTGTAGCTTGACGACGGAGTAATGAAAGGCAACGAAATGATACTACAATCTCGACTGGCTGATTGTTCAAAGAAATCCTCGAAGATCCTCTTGCTGACGATCATGATGATGCGAAGATCACAAGTCATATGATAAAATTGCGATAAAATTTTGTACGTAATAATAATAAGCGAATTGCGCCGTTGGTAAGAAGCCGCAAGACGCGGGATTTTGTCGCGGCACCTCCGACTGCGTCAATTTGCATCGAACTCTCGGGACCCTCCGGATGGAAAACTGTGTTTGCTTGCAGGATCGGGCGAGGAACGTCAGCGAAAGGTTCACGTCTACGACCACGTTGACGGTCAACATCCGGGACGATGACGATCAGGATCCATCCTTTATTTATCAAGGCTGTATGCTTTCGGACGGCGCCTGCATTAATCCGGAGTACTCGGCGTCGGTACGTAGGCAGCGACCGCGTCGATTCCGAGCGAATTACTAGAGCGTACTTTGGCAATTTATAGAATCGACAGAATATATATATATATATATAGAAGCACGCAAAGCCGCGAATAACTAGTCCCTAATCGGCCGTCGATGCTATCTCGGTGCCGTTCAAATTCACATAGCCTGCCGATAAATCGGTGCAACCGGTTCTGTACAAGCGCGATGCTCTTTTTTCCCCCGTCAGGTATCGAGCGGAGTTCTATCTGGCATACTCAATATCTCGCCCGAGAAAATACAGGCGGTCGACATGGACAGCATAAACGCCCCGATCCATTATTCCTTCCTCAGCGGAAATCCGCCGAATTACCGCGATTTCTTCGAGATCAACCCCAATACCGGAGCGGTGAGGCAGATCAAAGCCGTCGACACGACGGTAACGAAGAAGTTCGATATCATCATCAAGGTAAGTGCACCGGCGGATCACTGCCGTCTGATATCAAAGAGGCGACGTCGATGCAACAACTTTGCGCGCGAATATTCACCGGATGCTGAATGCTGCAAAGTGGGGGACACGTACGACGCAAGAGACGCTTATTTCGAGACACTGATTTTTCACGCAGTCGCGAGCGAGTGATTTTCAACGGCGAAACAGGCTGCCGCCTTTTCGCCTTTTCGTTCACTACTACGAGGGCGTCGAGTCTTTTCAACCCGCGAACTCGACTCTGTGCTCCGTTTCTCCGGTTCTCCGGTTTCTGCTCTGTAACGCTTTTGTTTCCCCTCGCTTCTTGAAGGCGGTCGAGGTGTCGGAGACCAAACGATCGGCCACTGCCAAATTAACGATCACCGTCAAGCCGGTCGACAGCAATCCACCCGTTATAACGGCATCGAATATCGAGGGTTACGTCGATGAGAATGCTCCGATCGGCACAAAGGTCATCGATAAAAACGGGAATCCCATTGTGCTCAACGTGTCGGATGCTGATTTGGTGAGTCTTGCCTTCTCTCTCTCTCTCTCTCTCTCTCTCTCTCTCTCTCTCTCTCTCTTCTTCTCCCCCATAGATTTGATCGGTTTCCACTTAACGAAGCGTGACCGAAGTGTGAATCGACCGTTTAATTTCCCCCATTGTTCACGGATAAGGTCCGCCGTGTCGGCGGAATGACCGCCGACCGCGGCCACGATTAGCCGCGCGTGTAACTCCCCTCTTTCTTCATCCGCGAAATATCCGCCTTTTTGCATTGCAGGGGCCGGACGACCCGAGGCCGGCGTACACCTTCGAGCTGACCACGACCTTCTTTGCGATCGATCCCGCCGGCGTGCTCGTCGTGAACGAGGAGAATCTGGACCGAGACCCTCCGAGTCCCGGCCGTTTCCGCTTCCAGGTGGTCGCCCGCGAGAAAACGGGTGTGGCCGCGTCGTCGCCTTTGTCGTTCGTCGTGACACTGAACGACGTTAACGATAATGCGCCTCAGCTTCCTATGATGCCGCCCATCACCGTGCAGGCGGGAGAAACGAAGAGACAAGTAACAAAGGTGGCTTCCTCATTCCGTCTTCTTGATGTGAAGTAATAGCGCGGCTATCTGCCGCGGAGGGATAATGAGCGATCCGCAGTCGGGAGTGAATCTGAATTTTTTCTCTGCTCGTCGATCCTCCCCGCGAGCTGCTTCTCTTCCCCTCCCCCTCCCCTCTTTCTCTCGTCTCTCGAATTCCACGCGATCGATCGTCGCTCGTCGTCGTCGCGACGCTTCTCCTTCGCTTTCGATGCAAACCCCTCTCCGTCAAGGGTCAAGGAGAGACGAATTTATTTCGGCTCGCTCCCTCACAGGTGGAGGCCACGGACAACGATGAGGGGGAGAATGCCGAGATCACGTACAGCATCTATCACGTGTCGAACAACGGCCTGCAAAAGTTCAAGATCGACCCGAAGACCGGCGTCATCGAGACCATGAGGAAATTGAACGCCGGCGAGCAGTACAGCATCACCGTGCAGGCCACCGACAAGGGCGGCAAGTACTCGCAGACGATCGTCGAGGTGAACGTCATCCCCGGGCCGAACACCAGAAGCCCCGTGTTCCAGCAGCCGGTGTACGAGGTGCAGGTCAGCGAAGGTGCCTCTATCAATTCCACGGTCGCCACTATCACCGTGAGTATCGTCGATGTGTCACGGCCCGATGTGTCCGCCGTTTACCGCGCTCATCGGTCTTGCTGTCGCGTCGATGAAGCGTCAGCGTTTCGCACTCGAGTTTTCGCTCTTGCCTTTCATTGCCGAAATCGCGCGACTCTATCGAAACCTGCGGAAACCTGCCGGTCACGGCACTGTGCAATTACGTAACGATTTGAGATTTGAGCGATATGCGATCACGTCGATGACGTCAGTGTAATGATTCTAACGGCAATATTTCACGCGCGCGCGGGAAAAGATGGCGGGAGGATTTTTCGACTTGTTTTCGCGTGTCGTCTGATCTTGTATTCTTCGTCTAATTTTCCTCGTTAATAATTTTTTTAAAGACTGATTTTCTTGATTTTCTCGTTCATCGGATTTTAATTTCAATTTGTGAGCTTATTCGGAGAAGAAAATGGATTATTGACAGTTTTGTAATGTATCGAGACGGTCGTTTTATCGGAAAAACACGGATATCTAAATGTTTATAACAGTAGACTGTGAAAGCGTCACTAATCGATCTTGCAGGCCATCGACCCAGAAAACGACCCGGTGTCGTATTCGATAGTATCGGGAAACGACTTGCGCCAGTTCGCGATCGGCGACAAATCAGGCGTTATTACCGTTATAAGGAAGCTAGATAGGGAGGACCTGACCCGATATCAGCTGGTAAGTCGATATCGCCAACTCGAGCTGCGCATTACAGCGCAAACTGCCTTTTGCTACGAATCAAAGCGCTCTGCAACCTTGTCTTCTCGATTTGTAATCTGGAAAATATCGACGCGTGCCTATTTTTCTGTCCATGCATAGGCGTCGTAGGTCTTGAATTTTCATTACGGTCAATTACGTTTACTTCACTCGTATCTCAAGAACGTTTTCCTGATCCTTACGAAAAAGTTTCATAATTTTTGTGTATATTCCTCGTATATACAGTCCTATTTTATTTATATATTTATATACATTGTCCTATTTTAACTTTCGCATTAAAAAATCTCGAAATCTTCGAGGTCGACGAAAAGATGTTTCAGACAAAAGTTGTATAATTTCAAGGGGACACATAAAACAACTATACTATCTTGCTTACAGATGGCGCCACTTTTGAGATATCCACTGATCATTACTTTTCTTAAATTCTTAAATCTTAAACCCCAACTTTTTATTACACCTTCTTTTTTTACCAATTAATTTAAACAACTTTTGTCTGAAAATTTTTTTTATTTGCCTAATGTTTTTTGAGATATTTAAGGAAGACTTGATTGAACTTTTTCAATTTAATTCAATTTAACTCACGATGTCCCTCATTAACTATTTGTCGGAAGAAAAAGTGATACTAGACTTTTCTGCTCTACTTGGTCTCAAGATATATTTACAACAATGGCGTCCTGAGTTTTGTTAATTTGATGATTTTGAAATTTCCAAAAGTCAGTAAGTTAACAAAAGTCAGGGTGCTGTAATAATAATGTATTCTTGAGACCAAGTAGAACAAAAATTCTAGTACCACTTTTTCTTCCGACAGATAGTTAGCGAGATATGGTGAGTTAAATATTGAAAAAGTTATCAAGTTTTGCTCAGATATTTCAAAAAATATTAGGCAAATAAAAACATGTTCCAGACAAAAGTTGTTTAAATTAATTGGCAGAAAAAGAAGATGTAATAAAAAAATTTAAATTTCTATTTAAGAAAAGTAATAATCAGTGTGAGTATCTCGAAAGTGGTGCCATTTGTAAACAAAATAGTTAATAATACAACTTTTGTCCGAAACATTTTCTCGTCGACGTCGAAGATTTCGAAGTCGACGAAAAATTTTAATGCGAAAGTTAAAACGGGACACTGTGTAACCTGATAAAGTTGTCGCGCGACGAATCGCGAGACGAAAGGATCGAAAAAGCGGACTGTAAAATTGCAATCGTCAATTCGTGTAGCTGATCAAGGCCGAGGACACCGGTGGCCTTTATAGCACCGCGACGGTCAACATCATGGTGACCGACATCAACGACAAGAACCCGGAATTCGTGGGTCTCCCTTACGAATTCTCGGTGAAGGAGGGCGAAGCGCGGAAACTTATCGGCCGCGTGCACGCCGAGGACGCCGACGAGGGCATCAACGCCGAAATCACTTACTTCGCGCCCGACGATATTCCCTTCACCGTCGATCCCGAGACCGGCGATGTCCTGACGAAGATAGTACTGGACTACGAGCAGAACGACGTGAGTAATCGCCGCCGCTGTGTCTCAATCGTCCACTTTTCAGCGAAGAAGGTGCGCCGCGTGTAAGGGAAAACAAACGAAGGAGATTAATTTTCCGCGAGGTAACAGTAAGCTCCTCCGCACGTGGAAACGTCACGTCGGAATAACGGAATCCGATGATGGAGACGTGATCTCCGCGAGTCTTGAAATTAGCGGAAACTTTTTCAAAAGGTCTTAAGACCTTTTAATAGTGCCTCTCGCCTCTCGAAAGACTACGTTGACGGGCACGTAGCGCTTGTACCGCTTATTAAAGTCGTTCATCGTGGACGTAATTATGCGGCTCAATCTCGAATCTTCCGAGAATACTCCAGCGCTTCGCGCCAAACTTACAGAACGCGATCGTTCAAGAATATCGCGTGACGGAGAGACTTTAGCTTACTGCGCCATCTAATTGCGCGAGGACGCTGGTTACCGGTGGATTATAATTGCGCCATTGTGCGCGACCGGGACAGAGGAAGCGTACGTAAGGTGCACGCGCGCGAATTAAAGTTTCTCGCGACTTTGCTTCGCGGAAATGTCGCGTGTTGGGTGGTACCGGCGTAATTCGACGTACGACATATGATATGAGCGCAGCTCCCCCTCCTTCTTCCACTCTTAATCGTAAAGTCATCAGCTTTTAGCCGTTGGAATTGTCTTTCTTCTGCTGCGATCACCCTGCGATGAACGCCCACCACGCGGCGGAATTATAAATTCTATCTCTGTCATTTGCTTGCGTGAGATTAAAATCGACATCCGCGCAGAGCTTTCTCCGCAATCTCCGAGTGCGTCAAGCCAAACGCCTCACGCGTTTCTCACGTGAATCACACAGGAGTACAAGTTTGTGGTGACCGCGAGGGATGGAGCCCCCGATTACCGTCTGGCGACCGCGACGGTCACAGTGAAAGTCATAGACGTCGAGGACGAGGTTCCGGTCTTTCACCAGAGCAGCTACGAGGCGCGTGTCAAGGAAAACGTGCCCGATTACAATGTGATTCAAGTCACGGTGAGTCGCGTGTCGTGCCAAGCGATACACAAAGCGCGGGCCCCCCCCCTCCCCCTCCCCCCGCTGATTGAGCAACAAATGCCGCGAGGCGCAAAGGCGCGACCGACAGCGAGGATCTATCGGGACTTTGATTTCAACGGGCTTAGATTCAACGGGAGTCGAAAGTCGCGCTCGGCAACGTTTCACGCTTTAACACGAGCCGTTTGTTAACGCGCGGGACGCTCGCGCGCAACGAGACTTTCGTCCCGGGATAAAGCGCTGCCTCGCTTCGGCAGCGTGTAACAAATCGAGTGTGAAATTAGCTCCGAAGTGGATCATAATAACGTATAAGATGTAATTCCACCGAAGACGCCGACGGGATTCGCTCGGCGAGAGTTTTGAAAGTTTATCGGATAAGCAAGACTCCCCCCTCGCGCGCACACACACACACACACTCTCGACTCGACTGTCAGAGCCGGCAGATAGTCGCGTAACTTGCGTACACCGACAATTCCCGTCCCCCGACTTCCACGAGGTGGAAAGGATAGCGGATCCTGGCGAGATGGTCATCTTACTCGACTTTAAAGCTAACGCGATCATTTCTAGGCCGATGATCCGGACACAAAGAAGCAAATTACATACATGATCAGGCAAGGGGATACCGAACTCTTCAGCATAGACCCGAAGACCGGAGTTATAAAAACTGTCCGCGGTCTCGATTACGAGAAGGACAACCAACACGTTCTCATAGTAGGCACCGTTGAGAACACCAGCGACTTACCCGGCTCCACCACCCGCGTTGTTGTTAATGTCCAGGTATTTTTTTCACTGTTCCGACCGAGCCCGTCGACTTTTGTCGCTCGGCTACGCCGAGATACCTGTCGTCGGTCTATCCCGCGCGTTCATCAGCAGCGTGCATCGGCCACTTCAGCGCACACGCGACACCACGCCGCGTATCGCGCTCGATTACGCTCTCAATCGCGGCACGGAGAGGCAAGGCGCACACTCTCCTGAATCGAGTCCTCCTTCTTATCAGCCGCGGGGGAGAAATCTCCCCCGAGACATTATGTTCAGGAGGCGATTTCGGCTGATCGCGCGAATTTTTCCGAATTATTTAGCCCGCGCGGCGGTGTACTTCAGCCGAAGTCATCCCGAGCGGGGACGTCTTCGCGGTGCTGCGTGTGCGCTCGTCTCTTAACCCTAGAAATTAATTCGCGGAATTACTCCGCGAAACCGGTTCACGATCGGGAGACGGCAGCGACATCATAATCGGCGTTAATACAGGTGTTACGGCCGGCCGTTTGTCGCGCTTTGATTCGCGCGCTTGTTTTTAATTCAGTTGTATCTTCTTATGGGGCAATTAATAACGTCTCGAACGGCGTCGTCGCAGGACGTTAACGACATTCCGCCGGTGTTCACGTCGGTGCCGCGTCCCATTACTCTGGACGACGATGCCCCCATAGGCACGACCGTGACCAATCTCGTGGCGGAGGACTCCGACGGCACCGCGCCGGGAAATCAGGTAGGTGTATCACTTGGAGGACGTCTCCCATCGCGCCCCCTCCCTCTCTCTCTCTCTCTCTCTCTCTCTCTCGCTGCATCGCGTATAAATTTATTTGTAAATCACGACGCGAATCGAGATCGTCATCGAGATTCATCGAGATCGCAACCGGCAGGTTCGCTACGAGATCGTCGGCCGTGGGATCGCCAGCAAGTACTTCGCGATCGACGCCGACACCGGCGTCCTCCGGATACGAGACGACCTGCGCAAGGAGACCGATTCCGAGTATCAGGTATATCGACTCTTGGTCCTGCTCTAGCTTCAGCCCGATCCGAGGCTGCTCCAACGCCGCGCGAGCAGGCGATCGCTGTTCTCTCATTTCCCCCCTCTCCCCTCTGCGACAGGTGGACGTGCGCGCGTACGACATGGGCGAGCCGCAATTGTCCTCCGTGACGAGCGTGCCGGTGTACGTCCGTCACGTGGCGACGGTGCCGCCGGAGATCGGCCTGGGCTTCGCGGAGAACTCGTACAACGTCGAGGTGCCCGAGGACGCGGGCGACAACACGCTGATAAAGATAATCACCATCATCAACAGCCACGCGCACGACACCACGCCGCTGAGGTGCGAGATTTACAGCGGCAATGAGGCCGGCCTGTTCGAGGCGAACGTCACGGAGGAGCGGAATTGCGCGCTCAGGCTGAAGAAGGGCGCCTTGGACTACGAGACGACGGAATCCTATCAGATCAAGATTAAGCTGGAGTCGCTGTCGGGCCTGTTAAACTCGGGCAGAAACACGACGATGGTGAGTCCTGACGGCGCGAGGCTGATCCTCGAATTTAAAGGCGAAGGCGTCTTCGCTTTCGGAAGAACGCTCGCTCTCTGAACGCGCGCCGAGTGTCTCGTCGCGTTCACCGTCGCGGCGAATGAGTTTGTATATTAGATGCGCAAGTGAGGGGGGGGAGCACACGAGCAACGAGAAGTATACCAGCGGAGATAGCGCGCAGCGAGGCTTAACCTGTTGCGCGCTGAAATTGCCGGTCTTCGATCAATTCCGTTGATGAGAACGATCGCTCGATCGCTCGGTCGCTTCGCAGGTGAAGATCCAGGTGCTCGACGTGAACGACAACAAGCCTGAGTTTATCTTCCCGGAGGCGAGCCAGGGCCTTACAAGGGGACGTTACTTCGCCGCTATTCCGCGCACCGCGCAATTCTCGTCCACCGTCGTGCAGGTGAAGGCCCACGACAAGGACAACGGGAAGTACGGCAAGCTGGAGTACAGGATCTTGGAAGGACGTGGCTCCGGCTACTTCGCCATCGACAGCTCCACCGGGATAATCAGGACCACGGCGACGTTCGATCACGCGGGCTCGTCCGAGCTGCCGTTCAAGTTCGACGTCCGCGTGCGCGACAATCCCAACTCGACCGACAATTACAACTCGATCGTCGCCCCGGTGATCGTGAATCTCATCGGCGAGGAGAACCTCATGATCCTGGTGGTGCAGGACGCGGCGCCGGACGCGCTGCAGAAGGAGGCCGGCAAGATAGCGAATATAGTAGAGGAGAAGAGCGGCCTGCTGATCGGCATCGACCGGGTCGTGGTGAGGAAGATCCTCACGAAGAACGGCACCATCGAGATGTTCCCGCAGGACTCCGACGTGTGGTTCTACGCGGTCGATCCGGACACCGAGGCCATACTCAGCAGGAACAGCTCCAAGGTGCAAAGGTACGTCTTCGCGTTAGGGAGGGACGCGTAGAAACGAATTATTCAACTACTCGTTGAGAGATTATCATTGAGATAGCAGCGAGAAACGAAATCGAGTAAACAGTTCGGTCTGATTTTTGAGTAAAACTTCACCGACTCGTACATCGGAATCGGAAACGAATCTTCCGTTGGCGAGCAATCGCTCGAGATTAAGTTTAACACGTACACGTATCGTCTCCCACGCAAGCGAGAGCAAGCGAGAGATCGATGCGCTGTAATTTAATTGCACGGCGTCGCGTTGGATCGCGTCCGAGAGTCGTAAGAGCACTAAATCCCGACAGATCGATCATGGAGAAAACGGCCATGTCGAACATCACCTTCGACGTGTCCACGTTGATACGGGCGAACGCCATCGACATTCACGCACCCGTGATGCCACCCGAGCCGGTGCGGACGCAAACGGCGGTAGCATTCAGCGGCGAGGTGTTCCCGTACGCGCTCATTATAATTGCCTGCGTCATCCTGATTCTCGGCATCGCCGGTATAATCTACATCTGCGTCTCTTGGTCCAAGTAAGTAAGCGAGAATTTCGGATTTCATTCCCTTCTTTTTCTGCCACGTTTCACGCAGGCGGTCTGAAAAGTTCTCGACCTGACACATACACGGCATTACAGAAACTGTCAAGCTATAATTGTATTGGTAAGTGGCATCCCTGATACAAACCTGACGTCAAATTTTATTCGGTCTGTCAAGTCTCACTCGAGTAGTAGCACCGGTTGAAGAAACTTTGTGCAAGATGGGTGCCGCATTTGCTGACAATTGACCGAAAACGCGAAAATTCGAATGCGTATTTCTCAAGTGTGTTTGGATCGTTTTAAGCAAAATAAAATGGATCTCAAGCGTCGTCTCGTAACTATTGATGGGAGAGGAGATACGAAAATTGTGCGTTGATGCGCACAATGAGCCAGGAGGGGAACGATACTCGTGAATAATGATTCTCTCTCTCTCTCTCTCTCTCTCTCTCTCTCTCTCTCTCTCTCTCTCTCTCGTTGATACAGTTGAATTTCCCATCTGCTTCGGGCTCTAAATTGCTCTCGCCCGTTTTCTGTCCGTTTGTTTGATAAAAGCGAGCCTCGCCTTGCGCGCGCGCGCGCGCGCGGGGGTATTAATTACGATGGACGTACAGAGACCGGAGCGGCGATCCCGGCTGTTATTATGGTCGCATGGGAGAGTTGCCTCGCGAGAGTATCGGTGTGAATATTCATCCGACTCGTTGAGAGCGATGCAAATTCATACTGCTCTTTATTACGTCCATTAGCTTTAATTGCGGTTTCCGCTTCGGGTATCGCCGCGAACACTTATTACATTGACGTGGCTCGAGCGACGTCGCGGCCGCGCTGCGATACTGCCCTCACGCGTCGGCCTGTCCGCGAAATGCGCAGCCCTTCGATCCTCACGGGGGAAATGTGACGTAGGTACAAGGCGTACAAGGAGCGAATGCAACGTATGTACGTGGTGCCGCGGTACGATCCCGTTTACGTGGAACCCAATCTGAAGGAGTACGAGACGCAGGTACTGCAGATGAGCGTGCCGGTCGACGACAACGACAGCTACAACGATCTACAGTTGGACTTCAGCAACAAGAATCACGCCTTCAGCCTCGACAACGTCAGCTACATCACCAAAGATCACGGCGACAGCACAGGTAATCCCGAGTGGATACCGCGAGACTCGCTCGTCAACGGTAACACACATTGTAACATTGCGTTGGAGTGAGAATAAATGTACGAAGGATACGAAGGAAAATCAGCCCCGCAACTCAATCCGACGCGCGAAAACCGCCCGGATCAAAGCCAGCAAATTCACTTTTGTCTCTCTGTGCATTTCTTTCCCCTCATCTTGCCTCGTTTCATCGACCTTCGTCGAAAGACCGTGCAATCGATCATATAAATCATACAAATAAGTCCGAAGGGAAGTTTCTCGTACGAATAGAGATATGTATCGATTTGCGCGAAAATAAATAAAGAGACATCAATCTCGATCGACGCGCGGCGGTTCGCGTCCGGCCGAAAGTACACGGTACGTTTATGTGTCATGTTAAGGTCAGCAGAGTCCCGTTAGCTCCGAGGCGGCGACCACGGCGCGCGCGTCCAGCATCGTCGGCAATCACGGCGACACCAACATCCACTCCCTGCGAAGATCCACATTGGGCCGTAAGAATCACAGCGCGAGCAACACGAACACCCTGAACAACCGCGACGCGACGCCGGTCCTGAACCCCCTGTACAACCACGGCGCAGACCTGCTGAGCCCTAGTCCGTCCAACGACAACGTCACCTTCAGGGAGCGGAAGGATTACTCCCATCTCGGCTTCACGTATCTCGGCGAGCAGAGCCCCGTCGAGACGACGACGGAATTGTAAGTTACGCGCGTGCTCGCGACGACGCGCGAACATCGATCACCTCGAAAGACTGTCGCGGAATCTCACGCATATCACAACCCGGGAGCGAATCGCGGACACGCAGCTCTCTCTCTCTCTCTCCCCTCCCCCCTCCTCTCTCTCTCTCTCACACGCCCTGTCGTCCACACCGTGGTGAACACTGTGATGAACGTAACGCTCCGCAGATCGAACCGCCGGCGATCCTAAGGACACTCCAAGCGCCCGGCAATCCCGTGAACGGGCCAAACGCTACTTCGCAGCCCGGGGCGCGCCACGACGGAGGCGCGGTGGACTGTTGTTCCTCCGCTGTGTAACGTCGAGCCGGAACTCGGGCTGAACTGAAAGCAACGCGCGCGAGGACGCGATCGATGATCGACGGAACCGCGACGCGCGCGCGGCCGGTTCCTCCTTCGAATACGTATCGGCGAGCCGTAAAACGCGTCCGAGAGCTGAGCGCGCGAAAGCTTTCAGACAGCCCCGAGAGGACTCCCGCAGCATTCTTTCTTCAAGCCGCCTTTCGCGGGTCATTTTCTGAATATGCGTAAGCGCGCGACGTTCCGCGGAGAATTCCCGTCGGGAATTCGCATTCTCGACGAGAGCTACCCCCTATGTGATATCCGTAAAAGAGAAGTAATATAGGCGTCCGCCGGACGCACAATGACGGGGCGAAACGAGGCCGCGAAAGTATCGCCCGAGCGAAAGAACGAGCGTCGCGAGTGAACAGAGGCAGCGAGGGGGACGGAGGGGAGGGAGAATATCGTCCTCTCGTGCCGGAGGTAGTCGATATCGCGCACCACTCGTCGTCCCTCTTCGTGCCCGTCGCTCGCGAGTCGCTGCGGTTTCTCTTTCTTTTTTTCTGTTCTTTCGCGCTCCCTCGTATTTTTTTCTTCTTCTTACCTTTACGCTCGCGACACTTTGCGCCGACGAGCCCGCGACGAGTCGCACGAGAAACGTCCGGGCTTGCTCGTAAGTTACTGTCCGATCGCGCAGCATCCGTGCACGATTCTCCGCGCACGGTGGCAGGCGCGAAGGGTGCGACGGTTTGCGATCACGTGTCGACTGCACGACGTCGACTTTAGTAGGAGTCCCCGATGAAGCTACGAGTCTTCTCTCTCTTTCTCTCTCTCTTTTTTTTTTATACGGACGGTGTATGTACTTGTGAGTGTGTGTGCTTGCATGAATCTCGTCCGAGGTCTGCGAACCCGAATCTGCGAGTGATCTGTCCCGTTCTGCCCCCTCCCCCCCCCCTCCCCCGTTGTACTATAATACTTGTTAATTTATACGACTGCGTTTGCTCATGTCACGACTACCTTATCGTAATCACAATTAACCGACGGTTAATTACATACCTACGGATTACCGTCCGACGCGCGCGTCGTAATCGCGTAATCGCGGCACCGCGGAGAGCTTTGCGACTTCGATTCGCGACTCCTCCTCGCACACTTGTTCGCACTCTTGATCGCGTCGATGTTGATCAGCGACCACGCCGGCAGAAAGAACGACGTCATCGGCGCTTAAGCGCGCGTTGGCGGCGGTGTAAGTGGCGAAGCGGGTAACTTAAGCGGGCAGCCGCGGAGCCGCGCGCCGTTTGACTTCTCTGCGCTGAATTAGACCGCGCGAGCGACACGGCGTTGTTGGGAGGATTTCATTACGATACGACTTGATTGAACATACGTGTCTCTAGTCGTATAGCGGGTGTGGCCACTGCCGTACAATTGCCGTGCAAGTTGCGTTTTACATGCTGTAAGGGAAAGAAAACAATAACCCGCGTATGCGATCGATAGTGTTGAGATCCTTGCTCGTAGTTGTACAATATTTAAGCGTGAAACCTGTAAAAAATTGTTAATACCTAATAATAAATTTATTATATTTACATAAACACACAGTGTGTGACTGTTGATGCGACGCCCAGCCAGCGGCGTTATTGTATAAACGTTAGCTCGGCGTCAGGAAGCGTCGGCTCAGGTTCTCGCTCGAGTATCCGCGCATTTCCATTAATTAAGAGCGCGGCTCCGTTGCATTCCCACGTAAGATCCCCTCCGCGTACGTTTCGCACGCGTGAATTACGCGTAGCCGCGGAAATGTACGCGCGCGGGATATAATTTCAACGAGAGCCTCCAACGTTATCCTCGCAACTCGGCCGCTCCGATGATGACGCATGGTTCCATAACTCTAACAGCGAGATCACTTTATGAACAATTCGTTGAGAGTAAACTCGCGTAATAACATACAGCAAAAGATTAACACTTGGCGCAAGTGACGCTTATTTAGCTCAAATTTCGACGCAGTATTTTCGATGCTGTAAGAAACAATGTTATTGATGCAAACGTGTACCTTTATGTACTGAATGTTATTGACAGAGGTCAAAACAATCCAATTAAGCTTCGTTTAGACATTAGGGGTTAACGACAGTCCTAGCTGCAGCTACTTGCCGCTAGATGGACGGAACTTTCCGATTTATCTAATATATACAAAGGGTGTCCCAAAATTCACGCAAGATTTGAATTTTGCGCCATTTGTGCGGTAAAGTGTTGCCAACGAAAAAAAAAGACAGCGCGACAGTTTAGGGTTTTTAAACTGACCACGCGCAGCGAAGAGAGTTGGTTGAAATGGATTATGGAACAACAACAACAAGTGGATGCTGGTTTTTCGAACAAAATCATCTTCAGCGATGAGGCTCATTTTCATCTCGATGGTTTGGTTAATCGACAAAATTGTCGCATTTGGGTGGTTCAGAAAATCCACGAGTGATTGTTGAGAAACAAATGCATCCAGTGCAACGTGTCACTGTTTGGTGCGGATTTTGGACTGGAGGCATCAGCGGACCATTCTTCGGAAGAAAATGCGGCTGGTCAGGCAATAACAGTTAATGGTGCTCGCTATCGCGACATGATAATCCAGTTTTTTGTGCCTAAATTGCAAGATATGGATGTGGACGACATGTGGTTTCAACAAGACGGTGCCACATGCCATACAGCCCGAGAAACAATTCAATTACTGCATGAGTCATTTCCTGGTCGTGTAATTTCCCGTTTTGGTGATCAGATCATGCGATTTAACGCCGTTGGACTTTTTTCTTTGGGGTTTTTTGAAGTCTAAGGTTTATGCCAACAAGCCCACGACAACACCCACGCCTTGAAGGAGGAAATTGAGCGCTGCATCAACGAAATTCAGCCACATTTATGCAAAACGGTCATGGAAAATTTCAACAAAAGAGTGCACATGTGCCAGCAAAGCCGTGGAGGCCGTTTACCCGATATGCTATTCCATACATAACCCTATACTGTATACTTTATGAATCAATAAAAAAATTTACAATTATAAACCTGTGTTTTCTATCAAAATTACTTCTTGCGTGAATTTTGGGACACCCTTTGTATATGACCCTCTCTCTTTTCCTCCAACTATCCTTGGCAACACACACCAATTCTTCCCTTCCTCCGAGCTCGTTCTCCCAGCTATTCTCATCCCACCCCCCTCCTCGCGTGTCTCACCCCGCTCGCACGCCCCCTTTGTCTTCCTCAGTCTTCTCCGCACGGTCAAATTCACCCTCTTCCAGCTTACCCTCGCGGAGAGTTCCTTCCCTCTCCTTCGTTAATTACGACAGACTTTCCACCGTCCCGCTTCTCCTCGTCGCATTATCCGTCATATCAGCCTTTGCCGACGCTTATCGCCCGTCATATATACGCACCAGACCTCATCCGGGCTTAATCGATTTACAATACGTGTATGTGTGCACGCGCGTGTACATGTATGTGTATGTGTGTGTGTGTGCACGCGCATTGTAAATCGATTAAAAGCTAAAGGTTAATGAGCGCTACTGACCAATAAGCGGCTAATCGATTCGCTCCGTAAATTTTCAAGAAAAACCAGCGATACCCGCCGATGCTCTCGATGCGGTCACGCATCCGTGAACCGAACGGCGACTTTTCGGCGACAAACGAACGGAAGCGAGTCGTAGCCGGTAAATAGCTCCACACACCGTTTCGCGGACAGCGCGGCGGACGGCTCGTAGGTGAGACCCGAGCCCGTCGGCGGGATCGTCCCCGATTGCGGGCGGGGATCAACTATGCTAGGCGATAGAGCGTCGGCGCCGCGAGCGACGGCGAGATCACGCAGACGCGTCTGGAGCTGCGTCGGATGTCGGCGGACGCGAAACGCGAAACGGGTAGGCGAACGTGGAATCCGGAGAGGGCGGACGTTCCGGCATCTCGCGCGCAGATGACTCTCGGACTGTCCGCGGTGACGGCGTACTTGGCCGCGATCCTTCCGCCGCCGCGATCAACGCGCGAGATCCTTCAGCCCTCCGCCGGAAAGGACACATTTATGCACGTGAGTGCCGAAGGTTCCATCGATCTCCCCGGCGATATCGACGAGTAACAGGCGGGTCCGTCCACCTTGTTGGCTCTCTCTCTCTCTCTCTCTCTCTCTCTGTCTCTCCTCCTCCCTCTTTCCCTCTCTGCCGCTCCGCGTCACCACCGCTCGAACGCGGCGTCGCGACGCCCGTGACGACGAGTCCGGAGCGCCGCGCAGATCGGAGCATCAGGACCCTAGGCCTGGAAGAGAGCGATGACAAGGATCGCGAACCACCTGTGAACCACAGCTTTGCACCGCAAGTCAAGACGCAGGAGTGCCTCTGGGATTATGAGCGTGCGTCCGCCTGTGTGATTGATTGTGCGACGCGACTGGTGAAACGTACGACAGTGTGTGGCGGCTGCAGAGGTGTCCGGTGAGATATCAAAGTGGCCGACGGACGTCGTTGTCGTCGAGGCGACTCATGTCTGACAGGTAATGTCTGTCTGCCACGGGTGATCCCATAATGTCCATGGTGTGATGTTTGTAGGGATTTCGGTAGGAGCTGCTCTCCGTATAAAATTCTCAGCTACTTGTAGGCGTGAAGGGCGCTCTCGTAAATTTGCTGCCAGTTGTGGCGCAATTTTGTAGATTTCTTCTGGGGGAAATCGTGATGTATCTTGCCCTCGCCGTCTTTGCTAACGACCGGTGATTTCTGACGACTGTGATGAAATGTGCAGCCGTTGAACAGATCGTAGCTGCCGAATGTTGTCACGAGCGAGGCGGGAAGATCTGGATTTATCGAGAGAGCAACGTTCTCGGGAAAGTTGCACACGTGTAACTCTCGTAAAGATTAAACGTAATTATAACCGACGTCTCTTTCTCTCTTTCTCTCTCTCTCTCTCTCTCTCTCTCTCTCTCTCTCTCTCTCTCTCTCTTTCATGTGGACGAGCTGCTTCATTCATTTGAAACGTTGCCGTTGAAAAGTGCGTGAAAGCAACGTGGGCGAAAATCTGTATTAAAGTCCAAGAATTTATATAATCCTTTGAATTAAATTGCGCGCATCTCACGTACGGGAGCTTACAACTGGACACTGTTATATTTGCAGATTGATGGTTGGAGGATCAAGGATAACAAACATGAAATACTTGAAAGTCGCGTTATTCACGTTCAATCTGTTAATATGGGTAAATAACAAGCTCTCTCTCTCTCTCTCTCTCTCTCTCCTTCTCTCCTGCACGTTATAAAATTACAAATTACCGCTCGCACTGTAGATGCGCATCTGTAGCTCGCTTCGAGAAACAACCGTCTCCTCGCTCGGTCTCTAACGAACAGACGGAAATGAGCGAATCAATTAGACGTCGCTCGATTAGAGATTCAGTGTTTAGTCAGTTAGCGGCGAAGGGAACGGTTCCTCCGTGTCCACGCGGCCGCGGCATGTAAAAGTGTCGTGCGATTTCTTTGACAGTTGGCCGGCTGCACGGTACTCGTTATAGGCGCGTGGCTGCTCCTGGAGCCCAGCAAGGGAGACATCCTCAATCTGTTCATACCTAACATCAAGCCGCACGAGACTATCAATTTGATAGCCTACAGCCTCCTCGGGCTCGGCTTCATCGTGCTCACGGTCGGCTTCTTCGGCTGCCGCGCCGCGCTACGCGGCAATCAGTGCATCATCACCACCGTGAGTAAAAGGACACTTTTATCGTCCCCGGTGTACCGTTATAGATCACGGGTCAAGGTCGGTGATGTTTTTGTTGCCGTCGTTCCACCCCCCCCCCCCGCCCCCCAGTATATGAGCATGCTGGCCGCGCTAATCATCACGGAACTGGTGATGGCTGCCATCGGCGGGCTGATGACTTACCAGATCTTGTCCGACCTCGAGGGGAGACTCAGCAGCAAGCTGACGGTGCAATACGGTCATGATCCGACCAGCGACGTCCCCTTCAGCCGGAGCCTGGACTTTGCGCAATACAAGGTGTCAGGTTAATCGACGATCGTTCATTGTCCGCGGAGTTTCACGGCCGTCCGCTCGTGCGCGTTCTTCCTTGCTACCTGCGTTCTTACCTCGTACTAACGAATTTGCCCGGATCTCCGCCGCGTTCACCGCCGCGACTTCGAAGCTCAGCGACTTCAGACATCAGTCCCGATCCGAGATGTCCCGCGCTCATTTCCGGAGAACACACTTCGCGAATGACTCTCTGAATTGTGCTGCGAACGAAAAAGCGAGGTCTTTCTGCTTCTCTTTTCTCGGCGTCGCGGACGTTGCAAAGAGCCTCGTCGTTCACTTTTGATCCTCCGCGAACATCACACGTCGCGCGGTCGTTTCACACATGGGCGGGCCGCGCGCATCGCTTTGTTGGAAATTGTATGCTCGACGAGGCGTCCTGCTAACGGCTCGACGAGCATACGGATAATTGTATTGCAGTTTAATTGCTGCGGAATTTACGGCGACGAGGATTACAACGGCACGGCCTGGTGGAGAGATGCGCAAATCTCGGGGACCAAGAGGCAGGTTCCTCTAACGTGTTGCGTTCTCAAAAATACCGAGGTACCTCTCTCGTTTCGTGTACCTTAGTTCATTAACCGATTAACGGTATCAAAAATGCGTTACGGTAATTCTGATTATCACTCGATGTCCGACCTCGTTTGCCACGACCTAAAGCGAGTAAAAGCGCGAGATCTCGTTTTGCAGAATAAGAACACGGGCAGCCCGATGAGCGTCGTCTCCAGGGTGTTTCACAAAAATGTGAGTAAGGGAAGGAAGGCGAGTGCGTTTTTCATTTTTTATCAACTATATGTTGAGCAATCCTTTGTCGCCGGCAGATCGAGAAGCCGTGGCTGCATCCGCAGCCGAAGGATGAGGCTGCGTGTCAAGTAGGAGACAAAGAGGGTCACGAGGGATATAGACACAAAGAAGTGCGCTTCGTACCGTAAAATATCATCCGCTGTCTCAGATTGCACGTCGCCGTGTGCACGTCGAATGATATGAATGCATTTTGCAGGGCTGTCTCGGGAAAGTCTCGAACTGGCTGCAGAGCGAGAGCTTCACCCTGGTGTTCCTCGGCATGGCGATGGCAGGGATACAGGTGAATCTATGTGATGCGTGGATTATTACCTCCTACAAAGAACAAGCTGTAGAGTGCTTCTGAGACGACGCGACGACGTGACTGCGTTCAGAGGATTATGAGATTCTATTCGAGGGCTTTCGTTCGGGGTTCTATTTCGAAATGAGTTTTCGCCTCTGCGAGCGATCTCGCAAAATGTATTTGCGGAATTCACGCGCGACCCATACCTGCCGCGCTCGGAAGATCCCTTCAGACGACACGCAAATTTGCCGATTGATCTCCCCCTGAAAAGAAAATCCCGCAGCATCTTTTACGAGGAGAAGAAGTAACGATGTAAATGTGTGTTTTAGACATTCGGGATAATAACGTCCGCCTTCCTCTGTCGGACGATACGGGACATGCAGGATGAATGATCCACCCTCCTCAGAATGATACGCGACTGCAATGCAATAAGAAGAATGGCGCAGCAGTGACAACACTGACATAAAGAGAAAGAGTGAGAGACGGGCCAGAGAGAGAGAGAGAGAGAGAGAGAGAGAGAGAGAGAGAGAGAGAGAGAGAGAGAACGGGAGAGAGAGAGAGAGGAGAGAGAGAAGAGAGAGAGAAAGAGAGAGAGAGAGAGAGAAGAAACATATTCACTTTGTATTCTGTGTATCGTCATTCGACAACACTTCTGAGCTCGGTTTCAATCTTGTGAGTCAGGACAATGATGAGACTCGCGGAGTCGCGACTGCAGGATCTCGCAGAATGAAAGTAATCCGGATTTCTGTTCCATTCCGCGAAGTGTTTGACCGTAGCGAACTTTAACGTAAGGTGTATAACGATAAGTGCTGCGCTTGCTCGATATCTTTAGATTATTCCCACTTGTGGGCGCGTTCGCCCTCGGATCAGCGAGAGAATGTGACCAATACCGCCCCGCTGTACATATATATATCGCATTTTTGTCGTGTTCAGATACTGACAAGTCACGATGTTACAGTAGCATCGCCAGCGTCTCACTCACGAAGATCACCCCGGCTAAAAGCTCGGCCAGCAGCGCGAATTGTTAGCCGTGAAGTTTTCCATCGCGTTGTAAATACACATTTAACGGTGCCAACATGTCAAGCGACTGAATACATGCGATGCGTACGTGAGAACCTTTGGTTCTTTTCTCTTCTTTCTGGGAAATTTACCTAATTCGAGATGCGAAATCATTTTTAACGTATAGTTATACATGGATTTTTGGAAAAATATGTTTTTTAATAAACGATGTTTGTATAAACATATGTAGAGAAGAGTTTGGGGCTTAGCGGGATAATCGAGATGACACCCAGGAATTTCTCCAGACACACAGCGTTATTATTATTATTAAAACAATATCTTTCATTTTAATTGCAAGCGTTGAATTATTATTTATTCAGCCTTTTATCTTTTGCCGCAAGCACCTGTGGCTGGGAGAATTGGGGAAAAAAGATGTTTCTTTTGAGAATGTGTCGTTAAGTTCCCATTGATATTTGTTTAATTAATTTATGATACGATGAAATGAAACGATCCGCGTTTTCTGGCTTACTCGAGAAACAAGTAAAAGGTATGGGAGAAAAATTACATACCCTTCTCTCTCCCCAATTAGCCGCATACTTCTCTAATAATTATGTATACGTGTGTGTTAGATTCTTATAGACATTTATTGTCCATTTTATCAGAATGGGTGTGAAATGTATACATATATTATATACATATACATATATACATATACAATATTAGTGTAAAAGAATGGATCATATATATATATATATATATATATACACATACATACACACACACATATATATATATATATATATTCTATAACCAAGGAAATGCTTTCCTTTCCAAAACTAATTTTCGAAGAATGTATTATGATAACTTGTGCCAAAGGAATTTATTGTATAATGAGTAATATAAATTTTAATATATTTTTATTTGATCACACAAGACGGTTGACAAAAGAGAGAGAGAGAGAGAGAGAGAGAGAGAGAGAGAGAGAGAGAGAGAGAGAGAGAGAGAGAGTAATATCCTGAGTGTTTATAGACCGCGTCGTAATGATAATAAAAATGTTGTTCTCTGTGCAAATTGGTATTTTATTTCACATTTTCACCACGGACAATTCACCATATACAATGTATCGATTTATGTTATATTACGATTAACATCAAACATCAAACTGATATAACATCAAACTGATATTACGTGAATTTTATTTCAATTCGAAATTACATATTATAGATAGCATTGTTACAAATATCGATATTAATATGCAAAAGCAGGAAGCAACGTTTACGTAATACAACATGTAAAAATTTAAAGAAGCGATCTAGTACGATTTGCTCTCTTCGTAAAAGTAAACATCACGTTCGTTCAGTGGTTGGACCGGCCGACAATTTAAAAGTAGCGGGCCGTCAATTGAACAGATTTCTCGGAATTTCTCCACCTACGATATAAGATCGTCAATTCGACAATAAACGTTTCAGCGACTTTAGTGTGTTTTGCATTCTACCTGCAACGCGGATATAACGATCGGATCCTTTTGAACGATCCACGTGACAACTTCGCTGCAAGGAGGCTGACTAAGAGAACCGCTATAAGCATAATAATCTCTATCGAATGGTGTAAAAATCCACTCCAACGGGAAAGGTGGTATCTTGACCTTAGAACTTGGATGGACAATTTTCCACAAATTGCTCACAACGTGATCCAGGTAAGGATTATCCACGGCGCTCACCTGCGAGTATATTATCGAGTATATTATAATTAAATGCAATTACGACAAATATCGTTGTTTGCGCGGTGTGCATTCGGTGTTTTATCCGGTGTGTATTTGATAGGACTTCCGATGAAACGGTAGAATTATTTTATGAAATATGCACCGCCAATAGGAGAAGATCGTACTTGGAAGAAAAATGAAACGATCACTATTCCGTCTCTCGCTCCCAAAATGATCGCGTCTTTGGGCGAGTTAATTCCGTGCTTTGTATGAACGACTTGCATCTCCATGGAATAACGCACGTAATCCAAAGTGTGTTCGCTGCCGTCCTGATTAGAAGGACCCCAATGGAAGAGAATGTTGAAGAAATTATACTTGTCGGACAAAGGTCCTCCTTGAAGCTGAGGACTCGTGGGCTCGTCCCAAACTCCTCGAAGTATTACTATAAATTGATTAAGTATTATCATAAATTGACGCAAAACTCGCATGAAGAACATGCCATATAATTCTTATTAATTTACTTCATTTAATTAATCTGAGATTTAACACAGGTAGGACATAATACAAAAGTTACGAAAAATTCTTTATAAACAATCCGTATTATTTAATCGTGTCGAGTTGAGATATAAGTGTTATTTGTTACGCGAGTGCTCCTCGCATAAAATAGACACGATCAATAATATCAATTTATTACATGTTATGACATCAATAATGACCTATTTTATTTAGTAACACATTGTTTATTTATAACAAATTGCGCTCGCAGCTACATTTATAACAAGCGAATGGCTTTCCCTGCGAATGTATTCGGGAAACATAAATATTTGCTACCCTCGCAGGGAATATTATTCATGTTTCGAAATACTGAAAAAGCTTGTGAGATATTTTTACCAGTGTGCCCGTCATTTGAAAGGGACATTGACAGAGGGATGCTATTATAATTGCTCCATTGAAGGGGCTCGTGTGGTTGCACTACTATTGCCTGTCTGCTGGTAATATTGATGGGCGACTGATTGCTACCGGCACTCTCGGGATATAGATTTTTCCAAGTATGTGGACCATTCTCGTGAGCGTACCCGAACGAGAAATTCGGAGGAAGATTCTTGTCGTTCTCCAGCCATACGAATGATTTCGCCCAGTCCATAATTTCGAACAGTAGAAACACTTTAACGAAAAAAGTTTTACCGTGATATCAACGGAATGTTTAACGACAAAAGTAGCATTTGAACACTTTATTTCTTATAATTATTCCAACTTCTAAAATCGTTACTATTTTATATTTATATAATTATATTTATATTTTATGTTTATATAAATATATGATTTTGCTAATTCGTCATCAAAGCTATTTTCAACGTTCAAAGATTAAGATGTTCTTGGTGCATAATTTTTCTTCATGCTTGTATCAGGTTATCCAGGATATATCTTTTATCTTTTTATAATACGTACCCAGGAGAAGGCAGCAGCAGCCCACAATCAGACTTTCCATTAACGAGTTCTCCAACATTTTTACAATAATACTTTATGCAACATTCGAGTCATGCGACATCGGCTACGTCACCAGAATCATGTGAAATTACAGGCACAACAAATTTTTATGTGTACATACAAATATATACTTATGCAGACAAACGATTCATACGATAGTTCAGAGCTTCTCCGGCATTTCGCGCTGTAATATTTTCTGTTGAAGACACTTTTAGAAAAGTGTAAAGCAGAACGTCATATGACGGTTCGCCGAATCTCGAAAATTGATGAAGCTCACTTCAACTTGTAAAAACAGCATGAAGGGAGCGCGAAGAGATACTTGCAACATTCAGATGTAACACGTCCCATTTCAATACAATAACCGCTTAATTTCGCTTCATCGTCTGTGCGTGAAACTCCAAAATTGCTACCGTGATGCACAAATGACATCCAAATCCAAAAGCATACGATCAAGCACACGTAAGTGTCAATAAGCATGTGTTCAACACATTTCTTCCAGCAGTTTTTGTAACAAAGTTATCATATTTACTCTGTATACATTTATTGAAGAATATGATGTTTTATCTCATAAAATGAGTATAATTTAATCATGTTTCACACAAGGAGAAAAATTATTTACAACCTCATCCTCGGGTTTACCGAAATGGCGGCAATCACCAGTCGATATCAGTCGAGTCGCTGTGTGGACGAAAAGATTTCCGCCTTTACTTTTGACTAATTATTGGTCGCACGATGGCGCAGCGACACTCACAAACACCGGCAAAACAGGTTATTTTATTTCACTTTTGATGCAAAATCTTGCAGATTGCCGTGTTACTTATATATATATATATACGTATGCGCGGTTTTAATGATTTCTAGTTAATATAGAACTGGTGGACAGAAAAATGCCGACGATGCGCGGCGGTCCTTTGAGAGATGACGAATTTCAATTTAGGAACGTACAATTTCGATGGGGCCCGTGCAATTCTTACGGCGCGGAACACTCAATCGACAATGTTTGGTCAGAGAAATTAATTCAATAAGAATTATCTAAGAACAAAGTGCGCGCAAAGTATCGAGGAAATATTTCTGTCACATGTGTTTAATCTAGATTTAATTTTAAGCACACACTTTTTATCTCGCGAACCGAGTCAAATTTTTTTTTCATTTCATCTTTTAAAGTGGTTCGATAGAATTTATAAATTCTGCATTGCAATTTTCAAATGGATTCACAAAAAAGGTATTCGATGGAAGCGCAAGTTATGCATTGGAATATACGTTACGGATCGATAGAGAAGTGCTACGAAAAGCCTGATGGGATTGCAACACTCTCATATCTCATGCAGGTATAGTATAATAGCGGAGAATGAATCAAAAGTTTGATCGGTTAAGCTGGAATTCATACAATGTTTGAAACATTTTTACGTGAGTCATTATACTCTTGGCCATTGTAACAATTTATTTATAAGAGACGTATATTTGTGATGGAAAGGTGGTTGGCTGCTCTGGAATTCCAGATAATCCTGCGCTCAGTCCGATCACTGAAAAGCTTTCGGAGATAAAACGCACAGGCAGTTCTGTGAATATCACGCCAGGTAATCTTCGAATATGAAGTAATATTAATAAAAATAAAAGTAAATCGCAGTTTTTTGAAGAGTAGATTATGCTTTCTGTGAAGATTCTCGTATGTTTCTTTTGCATTTCTTTTCATATTGCCAGCAGAAGTAAATACATTTTCAACAAATTTATTTACTTTATAACACTTTACATTTATTTATAACAATTGTATATTACTTTGTTCTTTTATAAGAGAAACTTAAAGGTAATTGTAGATTAGAGAAATCAATTTAAGCTTTTTATTCAACAAAAGTTTCTGGCAAGCAATGTGGCACAAATCTGTAAGTCTTATCAATATGAAATATCGAGTTTGATATCTGTTAAATAATACGTATAATCATATTTTATAGATTGTTTACGTTGGATGATGCATGCGCTCATGTGCTCCACATACTATACTTACTCAGGCTCGCTCACCTTTCCTCCTTATAACGAATGCGTTACTTGGATAATTTTGCCAAACGCGATAAAAATATCTCTCTGCCAGGTATTTGACAAACTTATATATCAATCGAAATTTTAAAAGATACGCAATCATCGGATTTGTCTATTATCATTTGTATCCCGCAACAGATAGAAGCTTTCAGGAGTCTTTATAATTACAAATGGGAGCACATAGTGAGGAATTATAGATCGCAACGTCCTCTACGTGGAAGAAGAATCTTCCTCGCCACAGATGATGCGCTGGATTGATCGATCGGGGAAACTTTGTTGCGTTATTATTACTGCTCATGTTTCTACAACGCCTTGTATATAAATTGGCCAACTTCAAAGTTCAATATTTCACTCCGAGGAAGCTTGGCAATGACGTGATCATTTCAGGTTGCTGCTACATCTTGCACAAAATTTTTTCAGTTTTATTCTTTCGATAAACTGTCTTAACCTGATGCAACAATGACGACTTACGCAGATGACACCGGTAAGTGAACGGTGAAAGAAAATAATATAACCTGACCGATGGGGTCAGGTTATGTACTCGATGTTAGTTTACTATTCTTTTTATATTACACGTTGCATATATACGTAATATATATTGATGAAATATTAATTCAAGCTGCAGGAGGGAATGGTCAGTCACCGATCGACCTGATTGATAAAATTGCGCGTCCTATGAGATTCCCACCGTTAATTTTAAACGGGCACTGGTTGAAAGATGGGAATGCAACTTTGTTCAACAACGGAGTGACAGGTAATTCAGTTCATTCTAAATTTCAAGCCGTGCTCGGGCAATCGATCGGACTCGATGAATATCTTCCTTTGTCGAATCAGCGCAGATTTTTCTGAGCGGCGATCGAATCCCGTCGACGGTATCCGGTGGACCGCTCATGAATGATGAATACGAATTTTACGATGCGCATTTTCTTTGGGGAGAAGAAGATTGCAGGGGCGCTGAACATACGATCAACGGTACTTGGTAAGAAAACATTACGTCATGAGGACCCCGACATTAGATATATACTCGATTAGCGTGTTTTCTTATCAATCACAATATTTACGAGAAAAATATTTTTAATATTTCACTCTTTCATTATATACTTGAAAAAAAAAATCGTAGGTTCTCCATGGAATGTCACATGGTGCATTGGAACCGGAGATATTTAACTTTTGATGAATGTCTCAAGCACAGAGACGGTTTATGCATATTAGCCTATCTATTTCTGGTATGCCGATTTGCACACAAAATGTGCACACACGAACATCTATCTTTATTCTGATTCAAATTATGAATCAAATTGTCTTGCAGGTGCAATCAGGATCTTGTCAGTGGAACAATATCAAATTTGAAAGGATCTCGGAAAATTTGAAGAACATTCAGAACGCTGGCTCGGAGACGAAAATTCCGTCAAGTAAATGTCCAGGAAATAGAGATTGTAGTATAATCTCAAGTTGTGCGATATTTCAGATCAAATGATACTTCAAAAATTATAGATTCTTTATCTTGGATGAGAATAGCAACAGAATGCCCGAGTTATTACACGTATCATGGATCTTACAATCTTGATGATGTTGATAATCCAGAATGCGCTCAGTGGATCGTGTTTCCAGCCATTACTCCGATACGACATTGCCAAGTGGGTTCTATTTACAGATTACACGATTGTGACTAATCAATTGGGTAATCTTGCAAGATAATTGCCACGTGATGATTATTATTTCGAAATTAATTTGAATACTTATGAATCGCTAAATCTCGTTTAAGGATACATAATGTAATACATGTATAAATTTTAGTAAATTAATAACATTATAATATCAATGAAACTTTCAGGTTAATGAATTTCGAAAGCTGAGGAATAAAAACGGTGAATTCATAAAATCGAATCGGAAGAATATCCGGTCTCTACGAGGACGAAGGATATTTTTAGCAATCTCGTAACCAAAGACTCATATTTTACTTCAGTTTCTATAATTTCCACGTGTATCCGTCAAATTTCTAAATTTTATAATATTACTATGAATCAATAAAAATATTTTTTAATTTTTTCCAAATAATTTAAATCTACTGAAAATTCTGTTTATCATAAAGCTATATATTTGTAATTTTTGTATATTATCTTCTTTCTGCGTAATTCTACGAAACATTCAAAAAATGATGGGATCTGAGGAAAGAAGAAGTCTTTTAAACAAATCTTCATTCGTCGCAATTCTCGAGTTTTTTCTTGTATGATACTCTCTCATATCTCTACAGTTTTTATTTTTACTATTATTTACTACATTATTTAATTAGAGCTTAAACATTATCGTTAATTATTATATTTGTAGTTGACATTAGCAAAATTAACTAGAATAAAGAATTTTGATAGAGAATATAATTTTTGTGTTGAACAATATTACCTGCAGTAGACAGCGTCTGACCGCAAGCGCACTGAATGTCAAACTCTGCTCATAAAATTTATCATATTTTTGTGAGCGCTGGATATCGCTCTTTCTACCTTTGCATAAGGATTAATAGATATTTTATCTTTATTTTCACAAAGTTACAACAACATGGTGCGAAATGATGCGTTTTTTATATATCACGATATAAGTGATTAACTGTGTATAAAAAGTGATTTTATTGTTTATACTTATAACTCTCTAATATACTCTTTATTGGAAATAAAACTACACAGATGAGATATTAGACAGGGAACATCATTTTCATGACAAAAAATTGTTTCAACGCAAAATCAGTTGTATCATCTGAAGGGTTATAACCCAGCTATTCTGTACTTCGCGTCACGTGTACACTTGAATTCACTTATCTGCGTGGTACAATTGGATTTCATCAAAATGTTACTGCAACTTATTAATTTGGACCTTTTAGAAAATATATTGAGAACGGGAGCCGAAAATTTCGCTTTTTGTTTTTTTTCTATTTCGGCCACGTTTAGCGATTTCTGCAACACTGTGCGACGTCTAGAACCGAAGCTTCAACGTTCGCACCGATCCGCGCGCTCGATCGGCCCGACGCTGCCGCCCGGAGTCGGTCGCTTGCGACGCGCGGCGTGTTGAATGGGGTGGTGTGGGGTTAATCCGCATTCCACATACTTTTCTTCTTTCTTGAAAACCATACCGCACGCGGTGACGCGGATGCGGATAACAAAATCTTGCCCTACTTCCTACAACCTCGCCCCACTTACGCGACTCCACCCCACCAAAGCCTACATGGTCGTTCACCTCACTTTAGAAGAGCACAGCATGAAAACAAATATAACTCACCGGCGCGCCGGCAGATGTCAGCGTCGTGATCGAATACCGAACCGATGTCGAGACCGCAACTTTAAACGGCTGTAACTTGCCAACGACTCGGTCGGTAGCGACATGAGATAAAAAGCAATCTCTTCGACACACCCTCTTGCGCCTGTCCATGCCGCTCTGTGACTGCCGATTCCAAAGAATCGAGCGTTGTGGTTGATTAAAACACGGCAAACACGATTGAGCGAGCAACAGGTTTATTCGCGACAGAATCGTTCAGCTTCCTCTTCCAATGACAAGATTGATATTGTGATACTACGATTCAAAGAAAAGGAATAATCTATAATCCCATTCTCGATATTCATAAATTGCATCGTCGTACGATCTGCATTGTGCAAGACGCAAGAAAAACGGAAAGAGATTCACTTTTATTACAGTCTCTTTCATCATCATTAAGATATAAATTAAAGAAGAAATTCGAGATATTCAACAGTCAACGGTACACTTTCCTAATATTCACCAAACAAATTACCTTATCATCATCATCTTCTTTATATTACAGTTTGAAAGCAGGCACAATCGTCTGCGTTATGCCTGGGAATTACTTTTCCGGCTGGTAGAGTCTGTTGAACGAGTCGATAATGGCGCAAGCTCGTTCTATCGCTTCTTCCAAAGCTTTATACACGCGAATGAAGAATACGTCTTCGTACAGCTGAAGATTTAAGGTCAAAGTTCCCCGTTCGCTTTGTGCTTGTGTATTCTGCGGTTGCTCGATCGCCGTTGCGCCGTGCATTCTTTGCGAGCTATCACTGGACTCTCGCGGGGACAGTATCGGGCTTTGTGGATCTCGACCCACTTCCGGCGAGGCTGCGGGCTGCTCCGCTCTCACGAAGCTGTGGCTCTTCACGAAATCGCTCTCAGCTTCAAAGAGATTCGCGAAAGCACACAGAACGGCGTACACGGCGTCGCTCTTCCAATCGTTCCAATCGACGTCGTACAAAGTGGACCTGAGACACTGTTTGCAGAGCTCGTAGAACCGAGCGAGCGCGTCTCGCCTGCGGTTCGTCTCTCCGACCTGCAGAAGAGCACCCCGCAAGGTGTTCAGCGACAGGTCCCAGGGTGGCGCGTCCTCCCCGGCGACGTCGCCGTACATCTCACGCAGCTGCGTCACGACGCTCGGGTGATAGAAGTAACAGGGATTCAGACAGCGGAACAAGTCGCTGTCCAAAAAGAGTGCTTGATAAGGCGGCTCGACCGGCCTGCGGCCGTGTTCCACGCCGGCCACGACCTCCTCGACGACGGAGCGTACGACTGAATCGCGGACACAGCGAGCCAAGTGCTCATCGATCGCTCGATCAGCCGACGACCCTCGGGTGTCGATCGCGCAACCCCAGAGACGAAACACGAACGCCGAGGTGCTCAGACTCGGCTCTGTGACGAGCCGCCAGTTCTCGCTGGAGATCCCGTGGGCGCGAGGTTTATACCACACCTTGATCCTCGCGAGCTGTCCGGGAAGCACGAGGTCCTTCGTCTTGTTGAAGAAGAACGAGCTGCCACGACGTCGGGTAGACGCGCCGGTCAATCGCAACGACGAGTCTCGCCAGTGATACAAGATAACGCGGGTTCCTCTGTTCTCGAGGACGATCTCCTTCTCGACCATCTGGTCGAGCTTGCCCTCGAAAGTTAGGGACCACGTAATAGTCTCGGCGTCAGTCGCTTCTACCTTGGCGGGTCTCCGCCAGAGGAATTCCCGACCTTGGATCTTCAGAGCTATCGTCTGCTCGATGTCCCCGCATGACTCCTCCTCTTCGTCGGGTCTCGTGATGGATATCGGCGGGATTCGTGGTGGCGGCTTCTTCTTCTTCTGCTTCTTCTTCCGCAACATCTGTCCTTTGACGGCCAACGCCGCGGTTTCCGGCTCTTTGGGGAGCAGCAGTGCGATCTCTTCGGTCAGCTCGAGCTGCCGCGTCTTCAGGTACTCGCTACGCCTCCAGAGCTCTGGCTTGGATCTCACGAGACCTCGCTCCTTCGCTGTCAAGTCTGGTAAGCCTACGCGCATTAAGTCGGGAGGCAGGTTCAGCTGCCTCCTCGTAAGCGTCAACGACACTTCAGGCAGGGAAGCGTCGTCGCGATCCGGCAGCAACTCGGCTGTCCTCCAGAATTCCGGCCCACCGCGGTACTTGTCGGGGATCACGGGTACCGGGATGGCCGCGTGTTCCATCAGCTCCTTCGTCTCGACGCGCGAGCGATATCTCTCCGAGGAGCTGTGCAGCTGATCGGCCTGAGAGCGGCCAGTGACTCGTTCGATGCGTCGGCTCAGTTTCTTCCGGTCCGTCAACCACTTCCGCCAGTTCGCCAGGCGGCGGTCTTCCAAAAGGGGCTCGTCATCGCGCACGAGGTTATCCGTGGCCGTCACGATCGGTATGCGACTCTTCTTCCAGGCAGGCGGCTTGTCGGCGGGCTTGCCGATCTTCCGCGCGAAGTCCATTTCCGTCGCAACAACAAGTGACACGTCTTAAATCTTATCTGCAAATGTCCGGTGAATTATCTTCGCCTCTCGAGTGAAAGAGTCGAAGTAGCTCGTTTCATCTTCGAACCTGTTGTACTCTCTCTCTCTCTCTCTCGCTCGACACTCGACACCTCCTATTCTTTCCTTCTCTGTTCGACGTGTGTACACGCATTCGCATATATTTATCTCATTTTACGTTACATATTTACATTTATGTATTTTACATCATGAAGCGCGCGGAGATACGATATCAGCAGCGGTATTACGTATCGACGAGCAGCGTCGCTCGACGTGAACTTTGCGCTGATAGAAATGATTGAACGTCGTGCTTGAGGCAGTTACGTGAATCCATCAATCAGCAGCGGTGCGTTGCATCGACATGAGCTTTCCGGCAGGTGCGACGTGTAAATAAATATTGCACTGTTCATGAGAGCTGTGTGTAATCAAGCTTCCGTCCGCTTTCGCATTTAGACATTTACGAGCGCAACAAAGAAAAGGTCGGGGCGATTCGACAATTGGCCGGCGTCGAAGGCAAGCTGGAGTCACCGATCGACTTGAATATCGCTCATATGAAGACCACAGAGCTGAATCCTTTGCAGTGGTGCAATTACAACGTCATGCCGAAGAAATTGAAGCTCACCAACACCGGCTACACCGGTGAGAGAGGAAGCGAATTCGCGCTCGGTCGAAAACAGCGTGCAGGACTAATCGCGGATGGAATTAATAATCAGCGGTACACGCGATTATTGTGAGCGTGAGATTGTTCGTGGAAACGCGACGGCCCTTACTTCTTACAGTGCTCCTGAGCGCGAAGTGGGAATTAGAACGGCCGTGTTTGCGCGACGGTCCTTTCGAGAGCAGTTATGTCTTCTCGCAGATCCATTTCCACTGGGGCGAGACCGACATGAACGGGAGCGAGCATCGCGTCGACGGCGAAAGGTTTTCTCACTGAATTTACCGTCCGCTCGCAATGCACATTTACCTATGCTTTTAACGCAAATGCGTCCATGCTAAGCATGCCAATGGAACTGCACGCGGTGCATTTTAAGAGCGATTACGAGACCCGGGAAGCGGCTCTTCGCACAGACGACGGCGTTGCCATTTTGGTGTACTTATTTCAGGTATTAAAGAAGAAAGATTACTTGGGAGATAAAAAACTCGGAGAGAGAGAGAGAGAGAGAGAGAGAGAGAGAGAGAGTGTTTAAAATAATTTTAATCTTTGAAGTAATTTAATGCACGAACTTCTGAATTAAGCTACTTTTCTCCGCGCGGTTCTCTCACGGAGGGAAATGTGCGTTTTTAATATATCCCTCGAGATGAGTGCTTTGTCAGGCGAGCGGTAATATCCTGTGAAAATAAGCTCGGCAAACAATAGGCGCGCGTTGAATAATATCGCTCTATAGTTACAGGCAGACTCTAATCCACTTTTCGACGACATCTCGCGGGCGTTGCCTCACGTCCGAGCAGCCCATTCTTCCGTCCGCTTAACGCCCTTCCTCATAACGAACATCATGCGATGCTTTCAACGCGATTACTTCGTGTACTGGGGTTCCGTGAGGATGATAAGCTACGGGAACAGCGTACTTTGGGTAATAAGCAGAGAACCGTTAGGAATATCCGCGGAGCAAGTAAGTCGCGCCGTGGTGCGAGAATTTACCGTTTCACCGGTTCAGCGATTATTATTGGGTTGGCAACCAGGTGATTGCGGATTTTGTCGACAGATGGATTTTACACTTTCTTTTGTTTCGTTAATGTGTTCAAAGTACCTAACCTATATTTTTTTCTTATTGTTTGGACTTCTACCTTTCATTTAGTGCAAAAATTATATCGATTAGTTGTTTAGTTTTGTTTTCATCCCAATTTAAAAATGGAACAGCAAGACGTGCACTTCAGACATATTTTATTGTATTATTTCCGAAAAGGCAAGAACGCATCGCAAGCACACAAGAAGTTATGTGTCCCCGTATATGGGAATGAAGCCTTGAAAGAAGGGCAGTGTCAAAATTGATTTGCCAGATTTCGTTCTGGTGATCTTTCATTGAAAAATGCTCAACGATCTGGCCGTCCAGTTGAAGTCGATGAGACCCATATCAAGGCCATTATCGATTCAGATCGTCATAGCACAACACGTGATATTGCAGAGAAGCTCAATGTATCGCATACATGCGTTGAAAAAAATTCAAAAAAGCAAATTAAAAATTTTGAATTTTCATTCTTATTTAAAATCCGCGATCACTCGGTTGCCAACCCAACAGATCAACCGACTCGTCGTACGCATCTGACATAATTTGATTGAGTTGCGAATCATTCTCGCGTTTCTTGCCTCGCTCATCTATCCGGTAGTATTTGGCGGAAAGATAAGTATAAAGATACGTATCTGCGGTGCACTTTCTCGTCGAAAGTGACTTACGAGGCTAGTCGTGGTGGTTCCCCTTTAAAGTAAATTTCGATCTCCTCCCGGTTTTCTTTTTATCATTGAACAAAGAGTACAGATGGCGCTGGGAACTAGCCCATCTCTTGCCCGCGCTTATACTTAAACTTGCTATCTAACATATCCTGACCAAAAGGGTTAAAAATATTGCTCTGTTATTTAAATAAAAAATTACCTAAAAGGGATAATCTCTAAAAGAAAAAAAATTCTTCTTCTCTCGGCTCTTTCTTCGAGGCTGCACAGTTTCGCACGCTGTACGACGAACGTAAAATGCCGCTTTTGACGAATTGTCGGCCGTTGCGAGAAAGAGGCGGCAGGAGCGTCTTTCACGCGTGTCCCAGCGGGAACAGATATGCAACGCTTCTGTCCATTCCACACGGTCACAGAGATTCTTGCGCTCAGCAGGACGACGTCGCGGACATTGACAAGAACACAACGTGATTCTTGCTAATTATCGTATATTTATGTAATTACCATAGAACGTTGATACAATACGACATTCGCGGATCCGCAATGTTGCTATTATTGTTACTTACAAATATAGATCGTGTACGAAAATTTATGCAGTGTTCACTCGCTCGTCATTCTTTTCCCATCTGTACCGCGAGTGCGTGTCTTCGAAAGTGTCATTGCTGCATTATTTCCTTCTCCTGCGACGTCGCTTGGTTCTCTCCTTCTCGAGGTTACACCCGCGGTAAAAGGAAGCGCAATCGATCCCGCCCAGGCCGAGAATGGACGCTTTCACAGAGTCCAACATTGCCGACCACGGAGACTTGCTCAACACCCTGCCTGACAACCAACTCATACCCAAGCTGAAAAGGTCGGTCTCGACGTTAACGACGATTTCAAGGTGAGAACTTTGAACTGCCGACTGCTGATACTCTCCGTCGACCAGTTCTCGCAGGATCACCCTCACAAGAGAAGACCCTCCCTCGCCGAGAGAGACAGAGAGAGAGAGAGAGAGAGAGAGTGAGAGGAAACCGTCGAGTTACAAACTATTACCTCCAAACGGGAACCCAGATCCTACGGCTGTCGTTGGTCACCTTGGAGTATTGATTATCTTCGCACAGTATCCTGCGCAGACAATTGCCGGAGTCCGTTTCGGCAATCATCGCCGCTTCTATGGACCTCAGAACGCGATACGCCAGGTCGTTCAAGTCCTCATTGCTGGCGGAGGATAAAGGAACAGGGAATGCGTCTCTCTTGACACGTGCCCTGCCGGTGGTCATCATCATGGGCGGATTGTTCTAAAACACAAGAGACATCTCAACCCCGTTACATTGCGACGCCTGACAAGCCTGCGCGTCGCACAACATACTGTGTGTTTCGGCAAATGACTGATTCGGCGGTCTTCAAATGAGGCAGAATTTGCATACCGTGGCGTTCATCAGTAACTGAATGATGAAGAGTCCGAATGCCAAGAAGGCAAGCGCGGTGAGCGCGATTTCGAAGAAATCCTTCACCGACAGATCGTGGCCCTTGCCTTTGGAGTAGGAGGGCCTGTGGTACTCTTCCCCGTGGTCATGATGTTGCGGAGGCGCGTAATAATACTCCTCATGGATGGACGGGAAGAAGTCGCCGTGCTGGCCGAAATGCTCGCCATGATGGTGACCAAACGCCGGCCCGTAATGGAAGCTGTGATGTCCCGCCGACGGCGACATGTCGCCTACTCGATGGAACATAACAAAGATCATGCGTCAGCGTGATGTCTCGTGCATGCGCGACTCGCGTGATTCCGCTGTGGCCTTTGGGGGGGGGGGGAGCTTTTACCTTCGTGAGACGGATCGTAAAGGCCCACTTTTCCGGATGGCAGAGGAGCTTGCATCGCGTAACCCGTCACCTCGCCGTCAAACTCCTCGATGTCCTCGTGTTGGACGTCTTGTTTCTTCGTTATCTTCTTATGAGGGGCGGTATAATGCCGGTACACGTCGTCCAAGGTAGTTGTGCTGTTACAGGTGGAAGGTAGTTAGAACTCCTGTTTTGAGAGAGAAATGTGAGAAAAATTCGCGGTCGATAAAATACTCCTTAAATCCGTGACATTCTAATTTTCCTTCTTGTCCGGCGTTACTTGCGTCGTAGTCGCAAGCGTGATCAGTATCAGCGAGTGGAATATTCAGGACACCAGACATTTCCGCAACTCTTCGATTCGGTGCTTACCGTTGCAGCCAATTTTTATACTTGGAGCTCCCTTCGTCCGACAGTAATTTGTCGTGTATTGTGACATTGTCATTGCCTAGGAAACTGCGCGGGTTGTCGCTCGGCGAAGACTCGGGCCGTCGTTTTGTTCGAGGAGCTGTGACTTCCTTGAAAATTTCTTCCGCCATGTAGCCGTGACAAAGATATTCGTTCATTCTTTTTCTGCTTTTACGCACCGACGGAAAAAAAGAAAAAGATCGGCGTGAAAGCTGCACGTGTGTGCGCACGTTTCTGACGTTTCTTCGCAATTTCTTAACGTCCGCTGATTTCGTTAGGATCATATTTTCAGTCTTACCTGTGGTAATCCATTTCGTTTAACGCTCTGTCGAAAGACCCGTCCGCGCTCTCGTTTGTCGCAGGTTCGTTTGTATCGGAGGTATCGGTACCGTTTTGGTCGATAAATAGAAATGTCCCAGGTAAAAGATCTATGGAAAGTATGTCGTCTTGATCGATGCAGAACTCGTTGCCGTCGTCGAAGCATTCTTGCGCCGATATCGCGCAAATTGCGAAAAGAATCGCGAGAAAGTACATTATCACGTAATCCATAGAACGAGCACTTTTTTTACGAAAACGTGATCAAGTTTTTGACGCTATTCCAGCTGTGTCACGGCAGTTTGTCGCCGAGACACGGAGACGACTGTGAGGAGAAGGCGACACGCTCGTGTGATAATACTCTTGTCCGCTAGATATAATTGCTTTAACCGTAACGTTGCTTAACTGCTGCGTTATTACAGTTTTATCGTGAATATATCGCGGGAGACTCAAGGATAGAAATAATTTTCCACGATTTTAAGTTTCGACGTAGTTGATGAAACACGTTGCACTCGACAGATTTGTTACAGAGATGTGAAAATTATTAGAAAAAAAGAATAATTCTGATTTCCTATCATTGTGATCATTGTCTCAAGTTGTTCTGTTGAACAAATGCTTAATTTGACTTACTTAAATATTAAAATTGTTTGTTATCTGTAATATTTTCTGTTGATTCAAAAAGACTGCACGGGCTTGCATTTCATATTTTATACGATTAAATTATATAAATATGTAACGACACATTTATTATGTTGTATTGGTTTTCGTCGCAAAAAATAAATATGTACGTGTAGAAGACAGCGTGTTACACGTAGCTTGATCAAACAAATCGATACCGCCCCCCGATATCGAAATCGGTAAGGAGAACACACCCGCATATACCTGTAAAAGCGGGACGTCGCTAGAACATCTGCTTAAATCCATAACTAATCCCACCGCGATTGCGGTGACAGTGCCGAGCGATTTACGCGTAACTCGACACTCATGATTAAATACGTTTATTAAAAACCACTTACAACGCTCTTATGAATGTTTCAGCGGCGAAGGGTCTGCCGGGGCGTCCAGGTCGAGGTGGTAAGACAGGGTAATGGGGCCTTTGTTCCCCTGGGAACGCGCTCACCTGTCTAATATCTCGCGAGAGTGGCTATATCTGTACACACACCAAAAGCGGCCAGTTATACGAGCCGAGCTTACTGAAAATTAATCGCGCAGTTTCGAAAGAATCCTCGCGCACACCGTCCTCGTCTCGTCCTTCCGACTGAAATAAACGTTTCTCACGCGATTGTTAATAACGTGGCAGTCGCGCGCGACCGCTCGCGCGGTATACACCGGATAAAGTATTACCGTGGCAAAATTATTTATTTATTTATTTATTTATTTATTTGTCCGCTATTTACCGAGCGAAACGGAAACGGAAATGTGCGACATCTGCAACTTCCTGGAAAATTCTAAATTCTCCGGTGGCTGATATTGATCCGGTTGTTGTTTAAGCGATATAAAAAATATTCGCGAGGGGCGAATAAGTAGGAACGAAGATTGATGACACGAGCGGATAGAAATATGAAAACATTTAAGAGGCTCCTCCTCGCTCTCTTGGAGTTGGGCATATTTTAACGCACGGGAACGCAGGCTGCGTTAAATATTACTTTTCTCGGCAAGAGACGCAGTGGCTTGAAGAGAGAAGTGGTTTTAACTGCTCACACAGCCGAGGCGATCTGCGATCGCGCACTTCCCCGTTTGCGTGAACACGACCCGCGGCGGTTTGTGCACGCGTGAGCTCACCCTCCTTTTCTCAGGTGCTTGATTGATCGTTTCAATTACCTGGCGCAGCGTGCATCAAACGTGAGAGTAAACTTCGCAGCGAGCAAATGGATCGTTTATTCGAAACATTTACGGGAAGAGGCGCGAGGTGGTTCGCGCATAAAGATCGCGAATGTAAGTCGCGAATAATGCGATCGTGCGATCCGAATGCGCACTCGAACGCAACTCGAATGAACGAACGCGTTAATTAATAACGCGACGGGTAAACTCCTCGCGTACGCCAATCAACAGGATCGCGCTATAATTAACGATACAAATCTCGCTCGCGTATGACTTTTGAGTCTGGACAATCTCACCACCTCGAATCCGAATTTACGATCTAGGGATGGAGGGATCTCGGGACGACACCTGACTGCGGAAAATTCCTGAAGAACGCGCTTGAGATTTCACGCTTGCTTCTAGGAAGTAACGTCCTCGGCTGTAAATTAACGTGCGCGTTGACCATGTCGTTACTTCCTCTCTTCGCACCTAACGACACGGCTTAAGCGCATTTCACTTCATGTATTTAAGGTTCAATATTTGTCCCGGTCGCAAGTACGTGTAAAATGTTCAGCCCTGCGTGTAATCGGGCGTGCGAAAAAGCTGGTACGCGACACGAGCGGGAATTCGCGTCTAAACGTAAAACGAACTAGCTCGCAAGTCGTCGCTACGCCATGGCGTTTCCGTTCGATTTGACGGTAACGTCGAGAGGAGATATTCGAGAGAGAGAGAGTATTATCTGTCCACATCGTTTTACGTTAAACTCACACTCGACGCTTTCGCGTCGTCTTTTCAAAAGACACCCGATGTATTCTCGATACTTTAGTCTTCGAATCGAGTTTTATTCTCATCCGTGTACACAAAATGGCATATTGTTCTTCCCTCCCCCCCCTTCCCCCCGGCCGCGCTCCTAACATTTATATAAATTACCGCATTTCGTGTTCTTCGTTGTAGGATAATAGCACTTTCGACGTAATAGTTACGTTATTCGAATTTACGTGGACAGCCGCGGATTAATAACGACTACGTTTCCGGAGCACGACACTGCGTGCTGCTGAGGCGTGTCTAATGTATAAGGAAAGAATAATATACGCTCTTTCGCAAAGACGAAATAACTCAGACGTGAATCGGGCGGAGGATCGATGACAGGGAGCCGCGCGGTAGAAAGGGCTCACAATCGCCATTGGTCCTTTTAGCCGCGAAAGCTTGGAGCCGAGTGGATTTACGGCGTGCGAGGATGAACACTGAGATTGGCACAGGTAGCCCGGAGACTAATGGACGCGCCATTCGCGAAAATGGACCGCATACCGCGGCCGTAAACAGAAATAGCACGATATGCTTCGATAAGGACTATCATCGACGCGGAAAGTCTCGCGGGTCGCGGTGAAAGGAATACGGGAAAATATCACGTGGCATTGAATATTTTCGCCTTATTATGCCTTAAAGACTCACTATCCTGCAGTTAGACGTTTATAAGCTCTGCTTTTTCTCATCCTTTCTTTCGAGTTGTAAATCTTTCGAATAAGCGCGACGCGTCGCTTCGACTTGGAAATCTTGCTCGCGAGAAAATATAATACAATAGTAGCAATAGTAGTTTAGTAGCTTGTGATATCTTGCTGGCAAGGCGTATAATTGTATCGGTGTTTAACGAAGGCGCGAGATTTTATGGACTACAGAGAGAACCACTGCGCATAGTTCGCTAAACGCGTGAAGAAGTGTTTTGCGGTGCTTTTTCACCGCGATGTTCTTCGCGTGGCAGAAGCGTTTATCCATTTGCTAAAGCGTGGACGGGAAAGAGAGAAGCGACCATCGTTTTACCGGCATAAAATTTCGAGATAGAGGGGTCAAAGAAGGCGGCTACTGCGCGAGCGGTGTGCGCGTTTGTGACCAATCGGAGTTTCACCTTTTGATCCCAGATGAACCCTTTCTCGCGGTAGCGAAACCCGCTACTGCGCAAGCCGAATCGTGGCACAAGCACTTTTTTGGGAAAGAACCATAAAACGTGAATGGTTCGATAAAATGAAAATATAGCGGATAGACCAGTCGCGTAGGAATCTGCGAGATTTGTTGCGTCTATATTATGTATATCGTCAAAGGAGAAAAAATAATATCTTGATGCGACGTGAAGCAGATTATGTGACGAGCGTTTATGCGTAATATTGCGTAAACAAAATATATACGCAACTGGAATGAGAGCACTGCGAACCCGAGCGTGTTATTTCGACACGTATAAGCTGAAGCTTTCTTCACGCGTTTCTTGTCGTTTCTGAAATCACGTCATTTGATGCATTTCGATATCACGCGTTTAAACGCGTTGAAACGCGTCAAACGACGTGATTTAAGACGACAACGATGATTTCAGGAGACAAGATACGCGTAAAGGAAGCTTCAGCTTATACGCGTCAAAATAACACACTCGGGTCTACAGTGAGGAGAAAGGCGTATTAACGTTCATAAATTAAAGTTCATCTCTCTTCGACATACGCGCAACACTTTCACAACAACAATCATGATCAGCGAATGATCATACAAGTGCAAAATCTCGGGAGAAAGAAATGATGGGTCTTACAAATATATATGTTATATTTGTCTACTCTTGTGTATTTCACATTCGTCGTATGTCGCTTGAAAGTGGCTAAACTCTGCGAATTAAATACTCCAAATCGATGATGAGGGGAATAGACGATGATTCGCGCAGGTGCTACAAGCGACATGATGAAATTTGAAAGCTGCAATAATAGGTGTAAAATAGGAAATCAACTGTAAACCGCCACGTTCCTCTGTGATCCCTACTCCGAGATCGGAGATACCGAGTAAGTGGGGGATCTCCGAGGTGCGAGATATTTTCCAGCTTCGCGGGATGACCTTCCCTTGGGAGGCTGGTGGGGATGCTGGGAGGTCCTTCTCTGGACCACAGACACGTGCCACTTGTCATACTTTCGGAAGTACTTGCTTTCGGGCGGTTCGGAGGGAGATTAGTACGCGATCAGGTGTGATCGGTCGAAAGGATATAGCGCGTGTTAAACCGCCTGAATGTACGATCTACCTGTAAATAAATATTTTTCATCGTCGAATACGATTTACTGGCATTTATTGGCAAAACGCGCGCCAGCTAATCTCTGCTAATTTCATCGCGCGGCGATGGATACGTGGATAATTAAGGACGACGTTTGCACCACAATCGAGTCATAAATTTAGCAATATTTTTACGACGCGTACGAAAGAGGAAACGTGAAAAGAAGCGTCAGGCTGCACAATAATCCAGTGTCGAATGCGCTGTATCGGAAGTGCGCGAATTTGAGTTGAGACTGAACTTGAACGGAAGTGAAGTGATACCGAGATCGCATCGACTGTGCCGATCGACGTGAATCGATGATTTTTCGCAACATGGAACTCTGCCAGAACCGCGAGAAAATGAGCGACGCCGTTTACGATCTTCGCCGAACGAGATCGCTGTCGAGCGAGAACGAAGTCTTCTTGATGAACCACGACGAGCGAGACTGTAAATCGCCGGTCGCTAATCGGGAGTCCGTCGAATACGCGTCCGACTCCAGCTGCGAAGGTTACAGAGAGTTTCAGAAACAAACACAGGGTGGAAGAAGAAATTCGTCCCCGATAGCCGCGTCCAGCGCTTTCACTATCGACAGCATCCTCGGAAGAAGCGAGAAGAGAGATCAAACTTCGAGGATGATGACGGAGACTAGTCCCGGCGACAGAGAAGAGGATCAGGACGAAACAGACGATAGGACCGAAGGACATTTTGTCAGACCTACCGCGATACCGGCCACTCGTCCTGGTATGTAAAATATAAAAATACACGCTGTGTATGTATCCTTGAGAAATTCGCGCGAATATATTGAGTAAATCACTTTTACCTTCTCCTTTTTCCAAAATAGTTTTTCTATAAAACTTCGTGTCTCACGAGACGGCGCCTAATATTCACTGTTGATTCACTGTTAACATAAGCAACTTGCTGCGATAAAGGTTAAATAGGTAAAATATTTATCTTTATTGTTTCTCTTTAAATTAATTCTAGTACGAAATATTTTACGACGAGAGAGAGAGAGAGAGAGAGAAGCCTGATATATGTTTGTCACTATCGGTAATGGCGCTTGCGCTTATTTCTAAGTCTTTAAAGGTAAATTCAATAGAACATGAGAAAACACATCGTCTCGGAAATTTGCAGGCGATAATTATCGTATTGTCTCAAGAAAAAGAAAAGATTTTATGGTTTCGTAGATATAGAAGGAAGTTTGTACAGCCATACGGGACTGCCGTATCCTGAAAGCACGTTACCCGACCCTACGGCGTATTCTGCAACATCACTCGCATCGGCCTCTTTATTGTACAGTAGCTGGTTTGCTCAAACAAAGCCTGGCCAACTGTTTGGCTTGCAAGGTAAGTTCGGGAACTTGAGACACTTCCGGTTGACGCGTTAAATGAGAGCATACGGTCCGATTTATTCTTGACACGCTCGATTCGAGATTGCCGCATCTCCGGAAAAAAGAAACGTCTTCTGTGCAAAACACACACCGGGCGAATATTCGAGGAACGCGCGAAAGAAAGTTAGTTACAGATAGCGGAAATGCTATAATACTTTCGGCCGTGTCCGGGAGGCACGAACATTCTCGCCGGTGTGAGAATCGCGCGACGACAAAGAACTCTAATTATTATCCACTTGTAATAACTTACCGCTGTAATTCCATTTTCGCGAACAATGCTGAGAGAGGTATAACGCGGGGCATCCCTCTTTCCCGGCTTCAACGAATATTGGATATTACACGAGGCGTCTGCAGTAACAGCTTTTCGACACGCGAGGCACACATCAGTGGCCCAGTTGCTGCCCTCCCCTGTTTTCGGCACGTTATCGGCGTGATATTAAATGCTTAGCCGCCTGGAGAACAGGGAATTACACAAATCGCAATGTTCCAGCCGTTCTGGCTTTTAGCGTCACGCAACGCGTCTCGCGCATATTCCGCTGTTCTATTCGGCCGATCTCTTCAGCCGATTCAGCAACTTTGGAATACTTCGTGGATTGCTTCGAGTGCGCAATGCGAGTCCGTTCGTCTTGACGAAAATCTCCGCGTCACGAAGCCTCGCTTGTTAGCTCTCGCTTGAAAATCCCAGACATTTCGCGGCTCCGAAACAAGATTGAAATCCGCCGCCATCGCCGATCTCTCTTCCCGGCTACTACTACCCGCCATGCTGTTAGGTGCCCATTTATTAACACGGCCGGTCTAATCATCTTTCGCGAAGGTGTTAAACGTCTCTGTACACTCGTAAATCTTGGTACCGCCGGTTCTTCTTTTTCGTAGGCATTCCGTTTTCCGCTCGCGATGCGGCAGTCCCCCCCTTTCTGAGAAACGCAATCAGCTTACCTGCGATTCGTGCCGATTAATTTTATATTCGAAGCTACACATCACGCACGTTAATTCACTCGGTGCCGGTGACGCAACGCAGAGCCGACAGACAGTGCGTGCTTCGCCGCCTTGCACTTGCCTTGTCTCCCACCCACTCCCCGTTAGGACAGGTCTTAGATAAACAAATGTTTTGCACTGTTGTGCAGCTCAACAGACGCCAGGCGCTTCTTGAACATTATTTGCGGAACACACGGTCGCGCCATCGAGAGTTTCCTATTTTGAACACGGAGTGTCACGCGTGTCGCAGCATTTTGAATCCGCGTGACGGGCTGCGCGCCGATTTGCACTGACTGAATAGCTAAGCTGTCACTTCAGCAAATCAGACGCAGGTCAAAACATCTCGGAGACCACCATTTTCACGGCGATAATGAGACAAAGGGTACGATACGAAGTGTCGCCGATATATTCTACCTGGTGAAACTGTGCCGTTCCTCGTACTCGTATAGGCTATGCGCTGGTAGGGTCCACGTGAAAACGGAAAGGTCTTGTGCAAACACGCGACATCTATTTGTTGACACGTCGTGTAAGGGCCGCGCAGCTAACTGATGATTAAACACGAGAAAAGAGCAAAAAATGTCTATTTCTATGTGAAAGCATCGCGATCTTGGGAGCCTCCGTCGAGGCGAGACCGTGGCTATTTTCAGGATTCCACGAACAAATAATGCCGCGGGAACAGCGAGTTACTGCTCGTATTGTTGACAATTTGTGACAAGGCATTAACACAGGAATAGATGATACATACTCTCTCACTCGCAGCTCGGTCACGCGCACTACACTAGGAAAAAAAATTTAGTCTCTCTCTCTAACAAAACTGTTTAGTTGAGGGGTTTTTTAATAGCAACCAAATATCTCGTTTTATATAACAAAATATCTAATTGTCTCAACTAAATATATTTTTCTGCTTTGTTCTCTGGAGCAAGTGATTTTGTTCTTAGACTTGATATATAAAAATTAAGCATCTTAGTTATTTTATCCATAAAAATTACACAATAACGAAATATTATTTCACATAAACTAAAATAATGCCCAATGGGTACTATTCTGTCCTTCTGTGAGCACTAAAATTTAGATTTTATATATTAAGAAAAAATTATACAATAGTATTTTTAACAAAATTCATACAGTTAAAGCTTTCTGGTTGCTATAACAAAAGTATTACGTTACACGAACAAACTGTAATCAAACAAGATATTTCTTTACAGGAACTAAACAGTTTTGTTGGGGATATTTTAACCAAATTATTTTGTTGTTGCAACAAAATTTTGGTTCACGCAACAATACATTTTTTCTAATGTACAAAGAATATTCGTAGAAATCATCGTGCAAACGCGATGGAGGAGGCGATTCTTTGTGTATTACGAGTAACACGACGAGAATGCAGAATAAAATTCTACCACCTTTACACACTTTTAGCGCCCGAGTTGGTATGGTTTTTTAACGATCTCGCTGTCGAATTTATTTTGACGGGATGTAAACTTCAACGTTGTGGATAAAGAATGAAGGAAGAAGCACAATAACAGTGTTATTCGTCAAATAATAGCCAAAGCGTGGCCGTTAGACATTTTTTTCTATAAATATTAAACAATTATCGTATCCTTACGATTTGCTCTTAGTATAAATTAACAAATTGTGAGAGAATATTACAGAGAGTATTGGACAGAGAGTTCAGGCAGAAAAAAGACGAGGAAAACCGTCATCTTTTGCAAAGCGGCACACTACATAGTAGCTGTTGTTGTTATTCCAGAATGTCGCGCGGGCTTCGTTATTTGTGCTCAAACGCAAATGACTCGCGGATATTTGCCGACGTGGTTATCAATCGCCGTATTGTTTCAGCGCGGCTAATTACGTTATAATATCTCATATCTTCTTTTCAAAGGAAATGTGTAGTACTTCTTTACACTACGACGATAATCGCATCCAAACGCTCTCCGTCATAAACTGTTTGCGCAGCTCGTTGCCGCTCCGCCTGCGATGTTGACAGTAGGATGTCACACATTCCGCAAACAGTCCCACACGTTTTAGACACGTTCGGTAATTCTAGACAGGGCTCGATGGACGCGCCGAAATCGTAAGGAGATGGTAATTGAGCTCGAGCCGGCGAAGTTGGCCGAGCAATTAAGAGCCGTGATTAGAATATTAAATTTTCATTATCACGGCGATAAATCTTCCCGAGTGCCAGAGCGTCAGAGAGCTGTCAAGAGCCTCAGGAGACGTTCGCGCAATTAGCAACGGCCGAGATGTGAACATCGGCGGAGCCCGTGAGATTGACACTTTTCTAGCCTCGTGACGATTGATAATCACCGCCAGTCGCGACCTAATATTGACCGTATCATTGCAGCGCGCGCAATCGCGAGGATCACACCGATAATAATGTAGCGCGATCATTTTTGTAGCACCTAAACCGAGCGGCAGGAGGTCGAGGAAGCCGGGTATCGATCGGAAACCGCGTCAAGCTTACAGCGCGAAACAACTGGAGAGACTCGAGGCGGAGTTCAAGGTGAGTTTACCTGTCACCTGCGCTTTCATCTTCCACGACACTTTAATCTATTCCCAACGCGCACTTCCAACACGCCAGGGCGCTCAATATTTTCGTGTTCGCAGATCGACAAGTATCTCAGCGTGAGCAAGCGGATGGAACTGTCCAAGTGTCTGAACCTGACCGAGGTGCAGATCAAGACGTGGTTCCAAAATCGCCGCACAAAGTGGAAGAAGCAGCTGACGTCGCGGCTAAAGATCGCGCAGAGGCAAGGACTCTTTCCACCGACGTACTTCCCGACCACCCAGTACCCTCTCCTGCCGTACTACGCGGCGCCTTTGATGTTCGGCAGCCCGTTATCGGACGACGCGGGCTCTAACTTGCCGGCGCGACCCACTGTATCGTCCTCGGATACGGTCTGACACCGCACAGACTAGAACTACTTGGTCGATCGTCGGCCGGCCGACCGCGAAGTGCAACAAGACCTTTTGTTGGCCATCGCGATGTCTTCGCAATATTTTTCCTGTTCTTTCTTTTCTCTTTTCTCTCGATATCATTACAAGGATGTAACGAGCTGATGTAGATTGCAACGCCATTGTTGATGATTGAAGTACGATTATACATGATCGCGATCTAAAGATTCGCGTCGTTGCGAAGTGATTTCTCTCTCACTCTCTCTCACTCTCTCTCTTTCTCTCTCTCTCTCTCTCTCTCTCTCTCTCTCTCTTTCCTTCTTTCATTTTCTTTCCAGATATGTTTACTGTACATAAGATGCGACGATCGTAAATTTACTTTATGCCTGCTGTGGAATTTTACGCGAGATTGATCCCCGCTCTAGATTTATCCCCGTGACGTTAGTTTCAATGAAATAAAACTAGCGAGTATATTTGAGCAACAGAGGCATACGTGTGCGACGCAAGGGAGGCGATCTCGCGAGATTGCGACGATTTTCCTTGGGCTAGATCGTTTTCGCTGTATATAAAATGCGATAATTGTAGATTTATGTAACAACCACGAGAATTGTGCAGAAAAAAAACGAAGAAAGAAAAAAAAATAGACCAGTGTTCTAGATTTACTCGCGACCTTCTTTCACGTTCCTGATTGCGGAGGAATAAGATTGCGTTCCTGCGAGACCGTCACGTACGAGAGACATGGACAATCGTTTCAAATTGCCGCACTGGCTGTCAGATCGATTGCACTCGCTGTGTGTACATAAAACACGAACGATTACTGATTGATGTAACGTCTACGGGAATTGCATGAAATATACACGAGTTCTGAGCTCGCTCGTGACTTCCCATATTTACGGCAACGGCAAAATAAGATTGTATTCAAGTGGCAGTCACGTGCCAAGCGATAAGAAAGAGACACGAAGCGCTGCATAGGAGTGTCACGTGAGGTGCACGTGAAAATATCACGAAAACAATGCGAAACTAACATACACACACACACACACACACACACATCGATGTGTACGAATGAGCTCGCTAATGTCGCGCGCTGTTTTCGTTTTCCCTCCAAACAGCCGTGAAGAGGATCTTTCAGCTCGCTCGGAACCTCGTGGGACAAAGCTCGAAGGAGTTATATAATTAAGGCTAAAGTGTGTCAGGAAAAAAGCCGCGCTTTAATAAAGAGCGCGATAATAAAAGGAAAGTTCTTATCGCCTGTCAAACTTTGCGAGAATAACGACGTAGAAAGGCTGACGGCGGAAGAAGAGAGCGGAAAGGGGATGGAGCGGTTTTATGCTCGATGAAATAATTACATATACGTAAGACTCGTTGAGCCCTCTCTCTCTCTCTCTCTCTCTCTTTACCGACTCTCGTGCATGAGTTAATGACTCGCGTTCTTCGCTCTCGTGCGAGAACAAAGCTCTTAGCGCGGTTAGCTATAATTTATCGACAAAGATATGGTACGTAGCAGCGACGTAACGCGCGTTATCGAAGGAATTCGTGTGTGCACGAAGCTGAAATTTAAATATACGCTCCATTTAGGGTCGCTCATCTCTCAACATGAAGTTACGTAAGGTTCACGGGTGGATTGCAGATGCGACGTCGTCGAAAGATGAAAGAGAGATATTTGGACTTTGTCAAATCCAAAGGAGAGATCTGAAACATACATCGAAAAGGTCGTCTACGAATAAATATCGCGTTATCTCTCGTCCCTTCGATAAGTTACATTCCGTCGCGCAAGACGGAATGTTCTCTCTTTTTCCCTCTCGACGAAAGAATTCATACAATACCCGTATATACGTATATGTATATCTTTTTTTAATTTTGCATAAGCGGATTAGGAAAGAATGCCGGCGAAAGTAATATCCTCTGGAGAACGCGGTCTAATTACGGGCTGCGATAAAGTCAAGTCGAAGTTGGACGCGGCCGAGCGCCGAAGCAAAACGAAGACAGAATACGAATACGAAATGAACGGGGCGCGCGCGCGCGAGATGCGGGTAATTATTTCTTTTTATTTCCCGACGGGCGACGGCGGACATTAGCTCTCGAGCTCTGGATCGAGCGCGAGATTCAGAAAGAAGACTCTGACTGTCAGGCTGTCCTCTTCGCTCTGCAGCACTTCTCGTCCCTCGGTCGCTCGCTCGGTTTTTCCGCGTTATCGCGTCTGCCGGGCTTATCGGTCTCGCAGGCGGCGTGTCGTCTCGCCGGACACTTCGTCCACATCAGCCCCGGGAATACGCTCAACTTCCTGCGCTTCGCCTTCGCCTTGGTATCCTTGGGCCAGGCGGTCGTACGTCCGGGACACAGCGTGCTGGTCTCGCGCGTCTTCACCTTGACGGACGACTGCACTGTGCGCACCAGCAGGATCGCGCTGCAGCTCTTATCGAGCGCGGCTGTCCCCGCGTGAAATTTATGGGCCGAAACTTGGATGCCCTTGTCGGACCGCTCCGGTTTGAATCCGGCGATCGCCAGCGTGTTCTGCGCGCACAGGTAACAGCAGCTCTTGAGGAAGTCCGCCGGCGCGGCCGCTCGTGCGTCCGCAGCGCGCAAAATTCGCTCCTCGCGCTCGCGCCTCTCTCGTCTCTCCTTCTTTTCCCGTTCCTTGCGTTCCCGTCGTCTCTCCCGTTCTTGCTCGTCGTACCTCCTCGCCTTCCGCTCCTTCTTGCTTCTCTCGGTAACGTCCGTATCGGCTGGCTCTATCGCCGCGCCTTGTTTACGACTTCTCTTGGATTTCTCCGGGGCACTTGGACGGCTTATCGATTCTCGATACGGCGCGCTTGATACACCGGCGACCGCCTCGTCGTCGGGTTTCTCGCTCTCCTTACACCGCTTCTTTATTCGCCCGAGAAGCCGTCTCGTCGACTCTGCCAGCTCGAGTTCGCGCCATATCTTCTTCTTCTTCCTGTAGCAGTTCGCGCACCACAGGCGCGGCTTAACGCCGCACTCGTCGTCGGTGTTCGTCGATTGGTATCTACGTGGCGGCGAATCGACCCCCTGGTGCTTCTGCGACGTTCCGTCGGAAGTTCCCGGGACAGCTGACTGATCCTCCAGCATAGTTTGGACGCACCACTCGCGATTCGCGACGTGCCAATCTAACGGCTGCGCTACGAATTTCAATGATTAATGCGCCGATCTGACAATGATAAATCCCACGGGAACGGTATTAATCGTATTAAAGTATGGAAATACGAGTCGTACGTATCTAACGATTACGATTGCGAGAGCGTCACTCCGTGGCGCTTTAATTCGGCCGTTTAATTAAATTAAAATCCGTTTATTTGCCGTTTTCATCTCGCGCGAGACGCTTTATATCGCTTTTAATACAACAGACCGGAGTTTATTTCGGCTTTCATCGTCGGGAAGAAAAACGATACGCCGCAGGACGGAAAATTGAAGTCGGAAATGAAGTAAAAGCTTCCCCTCCCGCCCCCCCCGGAGGAAATGGAGTTATTTTTCAAGTTGATTCACAATGAGCTGAATATACGTTGCTTACTAGATCCATACGTTGAGGGATGCGCGTCGTTTCGCGATAAATGCGTTTCGTACTTTGTTTGCGCGCTTCCCGAGCCAGGTATTTGTTCCTTGCGACCTCGTGATGGATAGTCGTCGTGCGACGTTATGCGAGCGGATCGATTCGCCGTTACGGATTCATCCGAATTCACTGCTGGGCGCATTTTCGTGCAGTCCGACTTTTTTCAGGTCCATTCGTTAAGGTTTAATAATCGCCGGATGCGCTCGCAATTAAATATGTAGCTTCGGTATATCCTACGTGTTGCGGCTGCGTATGCACGTCGAATGAATTATTTCCTCGCGAATATTACTTTGCGAATACATCGGGAGAGGGAAATGAATGAGGGATGAATATGTAATTTCGTTGCTTTAAATGCATACGGCTTTTTCAGACTACACAAGAGGCTACACAATTAGAAGAGGTTATCAGCGTCAGATTAGGTTATCATCGTGAGTCAATATCGCACCTTTCGTGAATAAACGATATTAACGGTATTAAAGAGAGATCACTCTTTCTGATTCTTCCTCGAGTATAAAATTTTTGCTCATCTTCCTGCGGAGAAATGGAGATCGTGCGGTTTCCATTTGATCATATTGAACTACTTTATCAATTATTGAAATTTTGTGTTTTTTGTGACCGGAACTGTCAGCGCCTTCGTTTATTGTTTAAAAGCAATCAACAGCATAGAGAAGCTTTCAGCTCGCATTAAAGAAACATGAACCGATACGTTAGTTAAATATTTTATTTTTAATGCGTACGTACGATAAATTTATGCTATTCCCATTTCCTACGTTAAAAATACGTGTTTTTCCATTTTTTAAGATTAATTCTCAAACGGTGGATTCTGCTTCATTTTTGATGTTTCATGATGTCTTTAATTGCTACTTGATTATAATTTTAATTGTATAATATAAATATATTCTTACGAGTGCATATTATTCTTTCCAATATTTATTATAACTTATTTTCTATATAAGCTTATTATATATTGATTATTACATATAGTATGTCCATTCAAGATTTTGGCGCGGATTTATCTGTATCTTTTATAATTTACATGCTACTTAACTTCTTCTGTTTTATATAGAATCAAAGTCAACAACATATGCATCTGATATGCCGTTGAATCGTGTTATGCAAAAATAAAAGTATCGTTTGTGACGTCAACTTACTGCTGAATTATATTATTGATTGATAAAAATTCGTCTAGTCCATTAAGACTCGAATTATTTGAAAATAAAATGTTTTGAAAAAACTTTGTCTTTCTTCCAAGGAATAAATATATAAAAAATCTAACCTGTCATACTACTTGTGGAAGTGAAGGTCTTGCTAATATCCCACTAGTCCTAACATCTGAAAATAAAACAATCTTCTGATATGTTGCAACTTGTCAGATTCGTTAAAATGCAACCGACTGAATAAAAAACTTTCCGTAAGTAGAAGAAAACAATAAAAATTACCTTCTCTCGTTGAAAAAAGGTCTGCCTGTTTTGAACAATACTACTTGAAAATAACGATTGCTTGTCTTTGAATTCTCCATAATCGAGACAGCAATCTCGATGCAACTCGGGATAGTGGCGGCTCGTAGCGGAGACTGTGAAACTAGCAAATGCCCTGAATACAGCCGTAAGGAGAAATTTCGGACGACGCCACCGGATGGCACTAGCTATACCATTAGACTTAACTATTAACTTAACGGGTCCAACGGATTGTTTTAGCCCGCTAACATCGAGTTAGACAACAGTTTTTCTTCCTAAAGTAGGAAATTAATGGCAGACCGAAAGGACTTCAATCTCCAAGCGGAATGCCTCAACGACGGGTGAGATGGTTTCAACGATATCCTTCCAATTTCGCTCGCCTGAGAACCGCGCAAACGCAAGATACGGTAAGAACATATATACACGATAATCGACGCACGGAGTGGCGAGAGTCGCCATCTCACGACCACAGAGCCGGAGTGAGGAGAAAGAGCGGTGAATCGCGCGACGTCACAACGAGAGCGAGCCAGGGAAGTGCAAAAGCCCCGGCGGTGGCAGGACTGTGTGAACAGCGACAGTGGCGATTGGTGTCCGTGCGCGTGTCTCGTGTCATATATGTGTGCGTGTTTGTTGCTGCTGCGATGCGTCTGCTAAGTATCGAGTGGTCGTCGTCGTCGTCGTCGCCGCCGCCGTCGTCGCCGTCGTCGTCGTCGTCGTTGCCGTCGTCGCCGTCGTCGTCGTCGTCGTCGTCGTCGTCGTCGTCGCCGTCGTCGTCGTCGTCGTCGCCGTCGTCGTCGCCGTCGTCGTCGCCGTCGTCGTCGTCGTCGTCGTCGTCGTCGACGTCGCGCTGTGTGTGAAGAAACGACCAACGGGTCGTGCGCGGTCAGCTGTTTGCGCGAGCGTCGTCGCGAGCGAGCACGCACTGTCGTCGGCGCGCAGTGGAACGGCCGTGTTGGAGAGCGGCAAAGAAACGAAACGGAACAGTGCGAGCCGCGGAAGTTCGCGAGACGAGGGGCGGATCGCCGTCGTGTCTGTGTGTGAGAAAGCGAGAGAAAGAGAAAGAGAAAGAGAGGGAGAGGGAGAGTGTGCCAGGCGGCGTGCAGCGTGCGCGTGCGAGAGCGCGATCTCAACGGGAAAATGATGGCGTAGACCTCGCCGCGCTCCGGAAGCAACGGGACGCGAGGGAGCGAGAGGGAGAACGAGAGACACGAGAGCGAGAGCGAGAGCAGAGGAGGGAAGAACGGGAGAACGAGAGGAGAAACGAGGTAGAAGGAGAAAGAGAGTGACGCGCGCCGCTCGTAGCCGTGGTACGCGTCGCGGTGCTACCGAACGCAGCCGATCATCCGCGTTGTCCGTGAGTGAGCGAGTGAGCGAGTGAGCGAGCGAGCGAGCGCGCGTCGTCGCCCACGTCGATTAGCGTCGTCGGCCGCGAACGAGCGGAGCGCGACGCGCGGAGCGACTCGTCCGCTGGTGATCGAGACGCGCGCGCGGTGCTGGTGGTGCTGGTGCAGTGTTGGCCCGGGTACGACGACGACGAGGAGGAAGAAACAAGTGGAGAAGAAGGTAGTGCGCGATTGTAAAGCGCGCGCGCGCGCGCTCTCTCTCTCTCTCTCTCTCGCCCGTCGTCGCCGTCGCCTATCCTGTTGCAGGCGGCTGTATCGTCGTGCCGTTTCGTGTTGTTGCATCGCGTCGCGCCGCGCCGTGTCGTGTCGTGTCGTGCAGATCGCGTCGTTTGTTTGTTGTGTTTCTCCGCGGATATACTCGCGAAGTGGTGCCAACAACGCCAGGTAGCCAGCGGCGTGTGTCTCGACTGCAGCGGGGAATATAGTACTACGATGATCAGTGACACGTGCGGATACGTTCTCTGCCTGCTGCTGCTGTCGCTGGTACCCTACATCGAAAGCGGTAAGTGGCCAAGAGCGCGAGAGGAAAGGTCGGACCTGTTCATCCCGCGACGTCCGGTCTTCGTGCTTTTGTTTCGCGCGTTACGCACCTTGCGACGGGCCTTGCGCGTCGCGTCGCGTCGCGTCGCGTCGTGTCGGACGGCCACAGGACGTGACTCGCGCGATATGTGTGTGTGTGTATCGCGTGAAAATACGCGTGGCTCTGTATGTGTGCGTGCATGCGTATGTGTGCTCCTCTCCCGTGAATCATCATCCTGTCGCGTGTCTCTATGCGCGCTCTCGTCCGAGTGGTCGAGCGACCGCGAGACGGATAGTGGCCTCGAATACGCGCCGCGCCGCGCCGCGCCGCGAGAAATCACGTTTGCACTCGGCGAGCAGCGCGAAATCGCGGATGGGCGGTCACGCTTTTTCTCAATGGATCGTGACACGAACGAGGAAAGTACCTCGCAGCTGTCGTCACATCCGAACACAACGCTCGCGCTCTGTCCTTCGGATATGATTTTGTTTCAGCCTCTTTTGTCTCTGCGAGTTTGCTCCACGACGCGGACCGCCCATCGCTGTTTCGAGCCATTTCATTCGGGGGCAGTAAATCGCTGCAGTAAATTAGGTTATCGCGAGAACTTTGTTCCGTCGGCTGTAAATTATTTATTCCCATCGAACCATTCTGTTAATTAATTTTATTTCCATCGTGCTTTGCGCCATCGAATATTTCCGCGAACTTCATGAGATAGTTGTTTGGAAATATGCGATCGCACACGGTCGCATGATTCTAATACCGATTTGGTGAATCGTGCGAAATGTCATACAGTAAAGTGATAAAAAAATATACACACATACGTATATGATAAGTGTATTACGCGGGAGAATCCGCGCAAACAATTTGCGCGACATAAAAAATATATTCGTCTCGCTATTAAACTCGACTTTGCTATTATATCACGTTTGCACGATAATGTCGCGCGAATTTGCCGATTACCATCGCTAAAGTCGCATTACGCGCGCGCATGTACGAGCGGCGCTGTTATCTTGTTTAAACTTTTCGACAAAGATAAATAAATCTCTCTCCTGCGGTATCATAATATCAACGCGTGTATCTCACGCGCGTGCATGCGCGATCGCAAATATTTTCCTTTCGGCATTATCGTATTCGGCGATCGCTCACTTGTTTTCGCCGTATTTTTTTTTTTGCGTCTCGGAGTACGTTTCACGGTCGCACAGGAAACAAAAAGAAACGAGCGATCGCTCTTCTCTTCGAGCGTATTTCGCTTTCGTGTCAGAGAGAGAGGAGATACGATGCGCGCGCGCGTCATGATTTCCGCGAAATTGCCGAGCGCGCAGGAAACGTCACCGTGGCTCGTGATTCCCCAAGTCGAAGTCGCGGAAAACGTGAATCACCCTCGTGCGATCGCGAGCGATCCTGCCGGGCGCGCGAGACTTTCTCACAGCCCTTTCGGCTGTAATCGGTCGGGTGCTGTTTCGTCGCCGTGCGTCATCCGATCGTTAGATCGTAAACGCCGCGAACTCGTCGTGTAATTTTCGCCGGGCCATCAGCTCCCATTGTCCCATCTGGAATCGATGTAGACGCTCGTACCGCGGAATCGCGGCTTGCCCTTAACCCTCCGTCGCGCGTCGCGTTTTGCCTTGAGTCGCGAGAATACGGACGATAAATCGCGCCTGATTATCGAAATCTCGCCGATTTCAGACATGCGATATTGCTAATTCTAGAGCGCGGCGGGAGCACGCCACGCGACACTTATCTCTCTTATTTTCAATGGAAACTCGCGCTTGTAACTCGCGTCGTTTCTTGCTCTGCCCGCGAATTTTTTCGCGCTGCGAACGCGAAATCACGCGACGGCGAGCTGCCGTCGCTCGCGAGCGCTTCGGAAGTCGGAGGTCCCGACGACGACGAGTTCCACGTTTCGGTGGCCGACTGGACTCTGTCCGACGATGAAATTTCATCGTGGTTACGCGACGATCGCGAAAGGATAATCGACATCGCGAGGACGCGTCGAATCGTCGTACGTGGCTCGCACGTCGCGAAGCGATATCGCGCGCGCGCGGACGCCGCGCCTTGCCTCTCTCCTTTTCTCTCCTTCCTCTGGCGCGCGCGACACGATGTGAATGGCCCTCGACGGAAGTCACAATCAGCGATCACCGCCGCGCGCTGGACGCTAGTTATACGTCGGTGCGCCTGCACGTCACTGTACTATTTACGGTTACGGAGAAGAGCAAAGAAAAGCTCCTCTCCCGCCGGCGGTGAGGTTCCTGCGCGCAGGCGGCTCATAATACCGGACGTCTGCGAGTGTAATTGATGGCGGCGGTGTCATTGTACCGTTAGCTATTAACGATATGCGAACGGGATTAAATTTATCGGCGATCGTAAAATCGTCGATTAATACGCGTTTCGGCCTCGACTTCCGCGAATCGTCGCCGCCACGAAATATCGTCGTCATCTCGCACGGTACATAGTTTCGTCGTGTTCCCAACCGGGCGATCATCCGGAAGTTCGCACGTGTAAGAATTTCGCGTGCACCGGAGCTCGCGTATTTCAAAGGATCTCTCGCGTGTGCGAGGACTTCGTAAATGTCGCCGAGGTTTCCTCTCTCTCTCTGTCTCTCCCTTCATCCATCCCTCTCTCTCTCTCTCTCTCGCTCTCGCTCTCGCTCTCTCGCTCTCTCACGTCTCCAAAGAACTTCGCGTGTGCGCCACGAGAATTCAGCATTTGTAAAGACCTCGCATGTGCAGCAGCCTCGCGTGTGTAAGCAGCTTTTATACGCAAACAGCTTCACGACGATAAGAACGTGAATATGCTTCTCGCTGGGAGCGCGCGAGCTCCTGGGTCGCCTCCGAGTATATACGACTCGCGGTGTAATATGTCGCATGAGGCGCGATATTTCTCCTCCGGAGACAGAAGCGAGACACGAGCGTCTTCTTTCTTATCGAATTTAGTTATCACCGATTTCCTCGCTGCTTTCCGCGCCAGACCCGAGTCCGCTGTTACGCGAAGAATTCCGTTCTTCTTCTTCTCCTTCTTCTCTCCCCTCCCCCCCTCCTTTCGAATTCTCTGATTAATGAAAACTTCGTGGGAAAATGGAGAGAGAGCGAGAGAGAAAAAAAATGAGAGTACGTCGCACGACAAATCCTTCCTCGAAATGTTCACTTTGGCAGGATGATAGAGAGAGAGAGAGGGAGAGAACTCGAGCGAGGAAGCTTGAGAAATCGCTGGCTCGATGAAAAAGCCGCTTTGGGACATTGCATTGTGTCCGGAATATGAAGACAGAATTAGGACGGATAGCTGACCGGGTCCGGTCATGTCATTGTCGCGTGTGCCGAATCGCAAGGACAAAAAAGTCGCGGTTTTCCTTTTGACGGAATTTTTCAATTTCTCGCCGAAAACACGCCGCGTGCGCGAGCGCACGCGCCGCGATTTTCGTCTCGAGACGTTGCGAGGCCGCGTGTCAGGACGTGTCGGAGAGCACACCTAGCTCGGGATCTGGCCGTCGCTTTTTTTCACGCGACTGGGATTATCCTGGTAATTGCACCGGGGACGATTCGTCCTCGCGTGCGGCGAAGTTTGTCGACGCTCGGGATTGCGGAATTAATTCGCGTCGTTGGCAATCCCGACGCCGACGCCGCCGCCGCCGCCGCCTCTCGAAGATCGAGCTTAGTTTAGTCCCAGTTTCTGATTTCTAACGCAATCAAGCCGATATTGCGCCCGTGGTCGTCGAAACCACGCGCCGTACTTGAGACTTCCATTATTCCTTCCCGTCCCGGTTACGCCCAGGCGACGTTTTGCGTTCAAGGTCCTCCTTGCGCGTTCAGCGAGACGCGCGAAATTCGCGAGCGCGCGCACCGAGCTTCGGCGCGATTCGCCTTCCTCCTCGGTATTTTTCTCCTTCTCTCCTCGTGTCGACGTGTTGAAAAGTTCTGCGTCAACGAAAGATACAGTATGTATATACGTGCTATGAACATACCTGAGTGATTACATCACGAGCTATTCGCGCTCGGCAGAGCACCGGAATGAGCAAGTGATAGCGAGCGCGCTTGTACTTCGATGAGATCGATTGCGTCAAACGTTGACGCTCTACATGCCTAATAAACGGATCCTTCTTTGGATACAGTCTTCAGGATATACGCACGCAGAAAAATGTTTATCGGATGAAACAAGTCTCTGGTGAAATGCGAACGATTCGGAAATTCCATTTGAAAATATCAGAATTCTGTGCCCGAGTTAGCCAAAAATCTCAATGGTTTAGACTGAATTCTGTTAACCTCAGCTGGAATTTCCGAGCCGTTTGTATTCTACCAGATAATTCTATTTCATTCAACTATACATTTTTATTCGCATGTCATCTTGTTATCGTACATATTACCCGTAGCATCTCCTTAGTAGCGAGTATTTCACGTCGTTAGCTCGTACATTTTGCTAACTGCAGCGTCACAGGTTGCAAGCCAGAATCTTATACCGGATAGAAAGTATAATCATTTGCGAAGTTGCATTAAAAGTTAATGTAACGAAGTTACATTACAATGTTTAGATTTTCTCGAGTTGCAGATCATTAGCAGAATTTAGACGGATCTTTACGACAACGCGCCGTCGCGTGTCAGAGCTCTTTCATTCGTGGCGTGCACGACATTTTCTGACCCGTTACACCGCTGAAATTCACGATGGGCGATTTTGTCGCTGATTAATTGAGGGGATTAAAACATCCCTGTCGATCAGGGGGAGCGCCTCTTTCGGCGGGGCAGACTTTTGTCGGGTCCGTGGCTGCTCGGAGCGCTAGAAAGCGCTCTTGGCTTCGTTCTTACGATGTTTAGCGAGATGAACTTTCGCGAGAATTTCGGGAGCAGGTCGCAGGGGGCGCGCGGGGATCCTCAGGGAATTCGGAATTCCCGGAGATCAAGGGGGATCTTACCTCCGGGGGTTATTCCGTATTCAGAGATATAGGTGGTCGCCGCAAAACTTCCCACTCGGCATTCCTGGCACAACCGCGCTATTCG